TCTGACTTTATCATGGTAGGAAAGCCGAATGTGTTCAGCAGAAACGCTGCCCCGAGCTCACAGCCGCCCTCGCTGTCCGTGAGCCCTGAGCTCACAGCCGTCCTCTCTCTCTCTCCCTGAGCCCTGAGCTCACAGCCGTCCTCTCTCTCACTTTCAGTGGGGTTGTCTGTGAATTCCACAAGCTGTTTTGCTTATAGCCAGACTGCGTTAGGTGGCTTCGCCCAAGTGTCGGTGATGTGAGTGTCAGCACATGCAGGTGGACAAGGCACGTTAAGTGCCAAAGGACGGGCGGGGGGCTGTCTGTGGAGACATCAGTGGCCTTGAAAAGACGGTGCACTGGGGCAAGCGTCTCACGACGGCTGAGTGCCCACCCTGCTGCCCATGGGTCTCCTGGGCCTGCTCCGAATGTGAATGGACAACAAGCAGTTCTCCATCCTCAGCCTCCCAAAGTGGTGGGATTCTAGGTGTGGGCCATGGGCCCTGCCCAAATATAAATTTTTTCTTTTTTTTGAGACGAGAGTCCCACTCTGTCACCAGGCTGGAGTGCAGTGGAGTGATTTCGGCTCACTGCAACCTCTGCCTCCTGGGTTCAAGCGATTCTGCTGCCTCAGCCTCTCAAGTAGCTGGGACTACAGGCGCCCACCACCACACTCAGCTAATTTTTGTGTTTGTAGTAGAGACAGAGTGTCACCATGTTGGCCAGGATGGTCACGATCTCTTGACCTCATAACCCACCCGCCTCCGCCTCCCGAAGTGCTGGGATTACAGGCGTGACCACTGCACCCAGCCATTCACAGCACTTTAGGTGGAATTATTTTCCCCCATCCCGTGTAAATCTTGAATTCTCAGAACAACTTAGGAAGGACCCTGGGCCTTCTCACCTGGGTTCTGGCACCTGAAGGTGATGTGGCTTTTCCCCGGGCCCATCCCCGAGTCGAGGATCCGGGGGCTCGAATTACCCGCCTTTCACTCTCAAGCACCTTCAAACTTGTTTTTCTGCACGCGACATCGAGCTCCCCGCGCACCTGCCAGCGCATTTCCCCTGCCCCGGTGGGCCTGGGGTCCACCCTGTTGGCCCTGGGGCTGAGCCCCTTCGTTTCCATCGTAGCTTCCGCTCCGTGAATAAATTATATTTGTTTCTCTTGTTGACAGGCACTTAGGTTGTAATTCTTTCGGTATTTGTTTTGTCTTGTTTTGCTACTAACAAAAAATGCTGCATTGAACACCCACCTCTACGACGGTTGTGAGAAGCTGTGAAGAGACTTGGCCCTCTGTGACCAGGTCAGCTTCAGTGACATGCTTTATTAATTTTCTTGTATTTTGTTGCTCCCTGTCACCTGCATGACCTTTGAAAGGTCACACCCAGTCAGGCACAGTGGCACATGCCTGTAATCCCAGCACTGTGAGAGGCCGAGGAGGGCGGATCACAAGGTCAGGAGTTCGAGACCAGCCTGGCCAACATGGCGAAACCCTGCCTCTATTAACAGTACAAAAATTAGCCAGGCATGGTGGCGGGTGCCCATAATCCCAGCTACTCAGAAGGCTGAGGCAGGAGAATCGCTTGAACCCGGGAGGCAGAGGTTACAGTCAGCTGAGATCGCGTCGCTGCACTCCAGCCTGGGCAATAAGAGTGAGACTCCTTCTCAACAAAGAAAAGAATAAGCAGCTAGCATCAGGAACCACAGCCATCAATGCAGACGCAGGTGCTTTTGTGGGAGGAAGAGGAGGTGTTGCCTCCTCCCGTGGCCCTGGAGCTGTGGGGTCAAGGATGCTGCGGGCAAGGACGGTCCATGGTAGTAAAGTCTGCGGGAAGGGAGGGAATGGAGGGACCGGACAGTCACCCAGACCGAGTCCAGTTGAGGCAGGGCCTTGGGGGCACGGGTCGGTGTGACGGCCGGGGCTAAGCGCCCACGTCCCAGGACTGGGCAGTTCCACTCCTGCACGTAGACGCGGACGAGGGTGCTCCCAGTAGCCCAACCCACGTGCTTCTTGGCAGAATGGGTCCATCTGTCCTGCAGGGTGCTGGGCAGTGATCCAGCAGAGAACCTGCATCCCGGTGTAGCAGCACGGAGGGGCCTTTGTTTGCAGTCGGCTTCCTGTTTAGGCCTTTTTTTTTTTTTTTATACTTTTTAAAAATGTTTGTAGGCAAGGTCTTGCTCTGTTCCCCAGGCTGGAGTTCAGTGGCACAAACAGGGCTCACTGCAGCCTTGGCCTCCGTTGCTCAAGCGGTCCTCCATGCCAGCCTCCTAAGTAATTAGGACTACAGACATGCACCACCATGCCCAGCTACTTTTTAAATTTTTGTTTCTTTTTTTTTTTTTTGAGACAGAGTTTTGCTGCTGTTGTCCAGGCTGGAGTGCAGTGGTGTTTTCTCGGTTGACTGTAACCTCCGCCCCCAGGTTCAAGTGATTCTCCTGCCTCAGCCTCCCAAGTAGCTGGGATTATAGGCATGCACCACCATGCCTGGCTAATTTTGTATTTTTCGTAGAGACAGGGCTTCTCTGTGTTAGTAAGTTTGGTCTCAAACTCCTGACCTCAGGTGATCCTCTTGCCTTGGCCTCCCAAAGTGCTGGGATTACAGGCGTGAGCCACTGCGCCTGGCCAGACCCTTAAGTTCTTGATGCACGGGAGAACAGCAGCATTGATGAAGTGCGATTTCTGTATTTTTGTCTCTCCACTGATTGTGAACGAATGTTAGGGTGGGAACTGGGCTGCTTGTGTGAGGCCCATGGGCTTCTTGGTGGGAGCACAGCGTTGGCAGAGAAGGGGACTGGGGCCCTCACTTTGGGGGCAGTTTTGCCTGGAATGCTGTGAGTTTCTCAGATGGAAACTAAGTAGACAGACTGTTCTGGCAGAGAGCGGTGCTTGGCCAGCCATGTGTGAGCTGGGAGACGCTTGTGCTTGAACTCAAGGTCCACCTCCACATCGGTGGGACATGACTGGCCTCGTCTGCCCACGCCCAAGCCCGCGTGCTGCTGGTTGCTGATCACCGATCCTGGGGGCGGTTTCTTGAGCGTCAGCTCCTTGCCACATGAGTGAATTTGCTTTGAGAAACTCACTGGTGGCTGCAGAGTCTATGTAGCAGGTGCTATGGCAGCGTCCCCAGCCAGGGAGGTCCTGGTGCAGCGGCAGCCTTCAAGCTGGGAGGGAGAGGGCGAGCGGGTCTAGTGGGGTGGGTGTGAGATCAAGGCCTGCACCCTGGGCTCCACAGGGATCGGCTCCTGCAGGGCGGGTGTTCCGGCCTTTTGTTCTGCCGCCCTGCAGCGCCCTTTGTTCTTGGATTTTCACCTAAGCCAGGTGGCTGCTCCACCCCCAGCCAGGGCCCCTCGGGAAATGGGCACAAAGTCTCCTACCTCCCTGGCTCAGGGCCTGGCCTGTCCTAGACAGCTCCAGGGAGGCTGCAGCCCACGGAGGCTTTGCTCCCAGCTCCTTGTCACCCCACGCTAAGCAGTGGGCGTGTGCTGCTGAAAAGGAGAAAGAAAATGGTGTCTTTGTGGAGACCTGGTACCATCAGTGGCCAGAGGAGTGGAGGAGCCCTGTGTTACTCTGGGACTATGGGAACTGGTAGGCGGGCCAGCCTCACCCTCACAGATGTCTGTGGTGCCCTGGAGGCAGCTATCCTGGTGCACCCAGGGGTCAGGGCACACGTTTGTGTCTTGGGAGCGTCCGGGTGGCACTGAGCGGGTGGTGTGATTGGCAGACAGGGAGCCCTGGGTACGCAGACACACAGAGTAGGGGGAGGGGAGGGGACGGCCACAGGGGCCCTGGCATTGTTACCACTGGGGAGCACCAGGTCCCAGATGTGGGGAGGCCAAGATTCAAGCACCTCAGAGCACTGCTGGGTAGGGGAGTCGGGAGCTGGCAGAAAGGCTGGCTTGAGCGCCTAGGAGAGGTCTCGGCCAGGGAGGGGGCGTCGTGCGTCCCTCAGCATAAACAGAATATATCTGGTGTAGCATGCACGCAAGTACGTAAATGTAGAAGGAGATGGTGGGTGAGGTGGGAACCCCAGCTTCCTTGGGGGAAAGAAGCGAGGGGAGGAGGGGCCCCGGGTCGGGCAGTACAGCCCGCACCACACATGCTGGGAGCGAGGTGGGGAGACACAGTGGGCGACCTTTTAGAGGCACAGCCGCCCCCCAAAGTAGGAAGAGAAACCCAGGGGTGAGAAACAGGAAATGGGCTGCCTGAGCGCTGGGTTGAGACCTGAGGGAGGTGGCGCCGGCGCAGACCCTGAGCTGGAAGGAAGATGCTCTCTGGTGCTCAGGAGGAAGCAGCTGTTCTGACCTGGCCGGAGCTTGTGGGAAAGGAAAGGGTGTCTGCTTGAGAAGCCACAGTCACCTGAGCATGAGGCGGGTGCGAGTGTGGTTTTGCGCCACGGGGTCTGTCTAGAAAGCAGCACGGAGTTAGTCCTGGGGCACATGGCAGAGGCAGCCACAACACCCCTTGCCAAGGCGCAGCTGCCAGCCAGGGCTTGAAGGGCCTCCAGCCCCAGGTCTGCCAGGAAGACAGTCAGGTGTGCCAGGAGACCATCTCCCAAGAGCAAGGATCTGCCAGTACGAAGAGAAAACGGGACTCCATTGCTAAAAATCTCTGGGCAGTGAACGATTGCATTTTTTTTTTTTTTTTGAGATGAAGTCTTGCTCTGTCGCCAGGCTGGAGTGCAGTGGCGAAATCTCAGCTCACTACAACCTCTGCCTCCTTTGGTTCAAGTGATTCTTCTGCCTAAGCCTGCCGAGTAGCTGGGACCACAGGCGTGTGTGCCACCATGCCTGGCTAATTTTTGTATTTTTAGTAGAGACAGGGTTTCACCATGTTGACCAGGATGGTCTCGATCTCTTGACCTCGTGATCCACCCGCCTCGGCCTCCCAAAGTGCTGGGATTACAGGCGTGAGCCACCGCGCCCGGCCAACAATTGCATTTTTAAGTGATTTTCAATTGGTGGTTAAAATGTCCTTTAAGGACATTAAATGTTCAAAACGGGTAATGTGTTTCCTTTTCTTAGCATTGTAGCATCTGCTCCTGTGCTTTGCCAGGGAGAGGCCCCGGTGGCCTTGTTCCTGCCGCCCGGAGTCCCTGGGCGGTCTCGGTGGCCCATGCAGCCCGGCTTGGAGGCAGAGTCGTCCTTTGTGGCGGTCGTTCCAGCATGTCGCCCTCAGTGAAGACCCCAGCGCTGGGAGAGCTCGTTCCTGGCTCCGAGGAGAAGCCCAAGGGCAGGTGGCCTCTCAGCTGGGGCTCTCTTTTTGGTCACCGAAGTGAGAAGATTGTTTTTGCCAAGAGTGACAGCGGCGCGGATGAGAATGTACTGACCGTCACCATCACGGAGACCACAGTCATCGAGTCCGACCTGGGTGTGTGGAGCTCGCGGGCGCTGCTCTACCTCACACTGTGGTTCTTCTTCAGCTTCTGCACACTCTTCCTCAACAAGTACATCCTGTCTCTGCTGGGAGGCGAACCCAGCATGCTCGGTACATGGTGGCCCGCGGGAGCCGGGGCAGCTGGGGGAGTGGCCAACAGCTACCTGGGAGGGCGGGGCGGGGGTGGGGGAGCCCTGCTGGGATGGGACCCAACCTCTCCCAGGTGAGCCCGCGGTTGGGGAACGCGCAGGCACTGGGAGGGCCGATTCCCCCTCAGCTCCGACCGCCTCCCTCCTGCAGGCGCGGTGCAGATGCTGTCTACCACGGTCATCGGGTGTGTGAAGACCCTCGTTCCTTGCTGTTTACATCAGCACAAGGCTCGGCTTTCTTACCCACCCAACTTCCTCATGACCATGCTGTTTGTGGGTCTGATGAGGTAGAGCATGGCTTGTTTGTGGTTGAGTGTCTCTTTCAGTGTAAAATCCCTCTCCAGTTCCTAGAATGGGAAATGCTGCGGGCCGCTGAGTTTTCAGTGCGGACTTTGTAAAAGTGTCAGGCTGTCGAGACACCAGATAAGTGATCTCACTGCCACGTGTGTTTGTCAGCTTCTCTCTGGGCTGGTCACAGGACTGGGCTCCTTGTCTCTGGGGCAGTTTATAAGGGGTGGTGGAAGTCGCTTCACACCAGGCGCAGTGCCATTTCCTGGGGGGTCGACCTAAGGCAAGGCAGAGGTGGGTCCAGGGACCACGTTGGTGATGAGGTGGGTGGGGCAGGGGCTGCAGGTGCCCACCGGCCGAACGAGCTCCTCGGAGAGCCTGTCCTGTGGTTGTAAGTAGACGGACTTGCTCTAATCTAATGGTGCTTTTTCCATATTTTTAGGTTTGCGACTGTGGTTTTGGGCTTGGTCAGCCTGAAAAATGTGGCGGTTTCGTTTGCCGAAACAGTGAAGAGCTCGGCCCCCATCTTCACGGTGATCATGTCTCGGATGATTCTGGGGGAGTACACAGGTGAGGGCTCCTGGGCCCTCCCCCCGCCTGCGCCCACCGCCCGCCTGTACCTGTGCCCTGCTGTCCAGGGCATCCACCTGCAGTGCCCTTCTTTGCTGTCTGCCGTGGGGCCCTGTGCAGGAGGCCACCTGGAGCGGTGCCTACACTGGCAGTGCCTTCACTTCTCCCCTGAAACGTTCTCCGCCCGGTCCCGTGCTCGGGGGTGTCATGGAACCTGCCGCCGCCCACAAGGTGCTCTTAGGCTGGCATGCGGAGGTTAGGGCAGGGTTGTGCCTTGTGACCCTAACTGGGTGAGGAGACGGGGGGACTGGCAGATTCACGGCAAGCAAGATCACTGAAGGTGCCAGGCACTGGCCCGAGGAGGACGGGCGGGGACCGCCTTCGGCAGGTGCCGCACAGATGGCTGTGGCTCCTGGTCCGTGGGCCCACCTGTGCCAGCACCCCACAGCCTCCCCAGCACCGCCACCATGGCCTCTCATGGGCCCAGCCCTTGACCTCAGCTACAACCTAGGCTCCTGCCTCCTCCACCTCTCCCCCTCCTCTCCCCCTCCTCTCCCTCACCTCTCCCCCCTCCTCTCCCCCTCCTCTCCCCCACCTCTCCCCCTCCTCTCCCCCTCCTCTCCCCCTCCTCTCCCCCACCTCTCCCCCACCTCTCCCCCTCCTCTCCCCTTCCTCTCTCCCACGTCTCTGTCACTTACAGGCGATTTCCAGCATCCTCGTGCTGCATACCCAGCGTAGCGCAGGAAATAAGCCAGGGGGAGAGGCGCCCACGGAGTCCAGCGTCTTGCACAGAGGGGCGGGGGGGTGGGTGTGCACAAATGTTCACTTGTTTGAGAAAACAGCAAGATCTTAAGGCCAAGGCAGGCATCTGCCTTCGGGGGCAGGAGGAGAGCCGAGGGTCCAAGGCAGGCGGGGCTGGTCCCATATACACTTGAGAACCGCACAAATGTTTAGGTGATTACAAAATCAAAGGCTAAAAATCAACTCCATTTTTGTTTTTTGGTTTGTTTTTTTGAGACAGCGTCTCGCTGTGTTGCCCAGGCTGGCGTGCAGTGGTGAGATCATGACTCACTGCAGCCTCTGCCTCCCTGGCTCAGGCGATCCTCCCATCTCAGCCTGTTGGGTAGCTGGGACATCAGGCGTGCGCCACCACGCCCAGCTAATGTTTTTGTATTGTGTGTGTGTGTTTTACTGTGAATATACTTTAGTCTTTTTTTTTTTTTTTTAAACAATTGAAACTCTGGGAATTCAGAATTAGCAGTGTTGCCTGTGAGCTTCTTACTGATGCCAGAAAAGGTTCCGACCTCACATGCCTTCCACGCTGCTCTGCTGGGCTTTGTCCAGACGGACCTTTGTGGGTGCCGCTGTCCATTTCACGGGTTCTCCTGGCTACAGTTTCACTTGGGAAGACCAAGTCCTCATGAATTGCATGGCGTGTGGCTCGCAGAGCACAGCTCCTGGTGAGCATTTGCTTATTTTTTGTATACCTTTTTTGAGTTGGCTAAGGCAGACTCCTCCTCAAAGCAATGAAGACAACATGCTTCCCAACGACCTTTTCCTCCAACTCAAGTACTAGCCAGACTTGGATTTTCTGGAATGATTTCAGTGGTGGAACAAGAACAAAGATTATGATAGCTTTCTTTTTTTTTGACATGGAGTCTTTCTTTAAGTATGGGATATTCGAAGAAAAAAGACATGGAGTCTCGCTCTGTGGCCCAGGCTGGAGTGCAGTGGCTTGATCTCAGCTCTCTGCAGCCTCCACCTCCTGGGTTCAAGCGATTCTCCTACCTCAGCCTCATGAGTAGCTGGGATTACAGGTGCCCGCCACCACACCTGGCTAATTTTTGTACTTCTTAGTAGAGACAGACTTTCAGCATTGTTGGCCAGGCTGATCTCGAACTCCTGACCTCAGGTGATCCACCCGCCTCGGCCTCCTAAATTGCTGGGATTACAGGCGTGAGCCACTGCGCCTGGCTTTAAAAAGCAATCCTAAAAATCATGAACAGAATGACACAGAGGAACCTTACTGCCCTTCGAACCATGCAGAAAGGAGCTGTTTATTTCCAGCAAGTTTAACTTGTCAATTTGACCTGCAGCCATGGTGGATGAGATGTTAGAAAACCAGCTCTTGCTGACAACATTGAGAACATCTTGATATCATTTAGCAGAAAGAAATCCAAGGGGGAGGCGTTAGGGAGCAATGGAGGTGCCGGGGCCTGAGGTACACAGCTTCCGGAGCCTCAGGTAGCCTGGGGAAGTGACCCCGTCTTGAGCACCACCCTCCCCGGTGCATTCGCTAATGGTTTCTGAGCAGAACAGTCTCCTGGGGCTAGAGGGGCATGAGCTGGAATGGGCGCCCTCCAAGGGGACCCCCCAGACTCCAGACCTTCAGCGGGGATGGGAACCTGGTGCTGGATGGAGGTGTCTGTGACACCCCAGCTGCACATCTGCAGCAGAACCGAGTCCTCCCTGAAGGGTGAAACGGCATTCACAGTTTCCAGTTTTCTCTCTGATTGTCGTAAGCATTTTCTATGATTCGACCAGAGTTCCGGCAGAGGACGAGAGCAGGTGATGGCACACGAGAGGACGTTTCTGTGGCTGGAGACATCCACGTGGGCCCAGGTCCCTCTGCCACGCCAGAGTCTCGGCCAGGCCACGTCTGTGGGCTTCCCGCCTTCACTCATCTCAGAGGTTTCCGTTTCTTCTTCTGAGGCAAGGTCTTGCTCTGTCACCCAGGCTGGAGTGCAGTGGTGTGATCACAGCTCACAGCAGCCTCGACCTCCCCCACGCAGGTGATTCTCCCACCTCAGCCTCCCTGGGAGCTGGGAGCACAGGCCATGTGCCACCACACCAGCTAATTTCTGTATTGTTTGTAGAGGTGGGGTCTCGCTGTGTTGCTCAGCCCTGTTCTTGAACCCCTGGGCTCAAGTGATCCTCCTGCCTAAGCCTCCAAAGCACTGGGATTACACATGTGAGCCATGTTCCATGGATTTTTAAAAAATCCTTCACGTAAAAGTGTTCTGTTACATTTCGGAAGGAAACAGGAATAAGCTCATCGTGGGTGCATGTAGAGGCTTTAGGTTTCACCACCCCCCCCCGCCCCCCTTTCTTGTACACTGCCCATGGGGACATATGAGTCTCCTTCACACTCATAGCCTCACACATGAGCATTCACAGAACCAGGAAGGATTCCATGGCTCGCCCGCCCGTGACTGGGATCCAACCTCTCCCAGACGATCTCATGCAGCGTGAAGGTACCACCATTGCGGGGGACGGGGCTTGTTTGCAGACATGGGCTTCCATCTGCTTTATCTTCCAGTGTAAAGAACCTAACAAGTATTGGTTTCGAATGGAGCATCCGTTCCTTTCCCAAGAGGGGATGGAAACAGAGCTCTTGGGAGGGAGCTTCCGCCGCTCACGGGTGCTGTCCTCTCTCCAGGGCTGCTGGTCAACCTGTCCCTCATCCCGGTCATGGGCGGGCTGGCGCTGTGCACAGCCACTGAGATCAGCTTCAACGTCCTGGGATTCTCGGCCGCACTGTCCACCAACATCGTGGACTGGTGAGTCACGGAGCGCGTGAGTGAGGGGGGTGAGAGCCAGTTTGCTTGCCTGACTGGGCGTGCAGATGAGCTGAGAATTTCTCCTGTCAGTCAAAGCTGGTCCATTCAATTCTGCCTTTTCCTACAGAGCAAAATGCTAGGTGTCCTCGTAAGGTAATTTTTTCTGAGAAACAGGCCAAAGTTTCAGGATGCACGGCCTTGATACTTAAAATGCTAACCATGGAGACACAGCTGATAAACGCTGAATGGCCGGCATGCGCTCAGCAGTGTGTCTCGCTCGGTGTGGCTGCTTGTGTCTTCACGCGGCCGCCTCACGGCCAGAGCAGGGACAATCCCTGCGGCAGGTGGTCCCCATTCAGGAGCTGCGTGGCCTCCGGGTCAGGCGCATCCTCTGCTTCCTTGGTGGCCGTCTGAGTCCTGGTATCACGATGGCAGGATGAGAGGCTGACTCCCATGGTGAGGACGGTGCATGGCAGGGTCCCAGAGGAGAGGGCCCAGTGACTTGCGTCCTTCTTACACAGCAGAGAAGAGGGCTGGATGCTGCACTTTGGGGGCTATTCAAATTCACTCAGAATTGAGCATCTGCGTCTCTGTTAATAGCCACACTCCAGCCCTGGCAAACCTGCCCTTTCAGAATGACCGACTGCTCCCGGGCTCCTCCTCCTCCCGGGCTCCTCCTGCTCCCGGGCTCCTCCTCCTCCCGGGCTCCTCCTCCTCCCGGGCTCCTCCTGCTCCCGGGCTCCTCCTCCTCCCGGGCTCCTCCTGCTCCCGGGCTCCTCCTCCTCCCGGGCTCCTCCTGCTTTTGAGAAGAGAAACACCCACCACCAGTGTCCGAGAGTTTATCATTATTATTACTAATAAGCAAAGCAGGTTCATGGGGAGATTTTGAATAACATAGCTAAGTAAAAATAATAATTTGCTGGGCATGGTTGCTCACGCCTTAATCTTAGCACTTTGGGAGGCTGAGGCAGGCGGATCACCTGAGGTCAGGAGTTTGAGACCAGCCTGGTCAACATGGTGAAACCCCATCTCTACTAAAAGTCGGGCATTGTGGTGGGCACCTGCAGTCCCAGCTACTTGGGAGGCTGGGGCAGGAGAATTGCCTGAATCTGGGAGGCAGAGTTGCAGTGAGCCGAGATCGCACCGCTGCACTCCAGCTGGGGCAACAGAGGGAGACTCCATCTCCAAAAAAAAAAAAAAAAAGTAAAAATCATAAAAAATCATCTCACTTTTAACATCTCAATGCCTTTCCCTCCAGTGTTTCCCTCTGTGTGGGTGGTTCTTGGGAGCATGGTGTGGGTTCTGTCCCTGTCCCATCTGTGCCATTCCGTGGGCCTCGTGTCCTTCACTCTCCGCAAGTCTGGTTTCCGTGCCGGCTTCGTGCACTTGAGCCATGACCTCACGATTCTCATGTTGCCAAACTGCCTCTGGCTCTTTGTATTGAGAGTTAAATCTGCAGGGAACATCTTTTTCTAGAATCTGTATAAATGCGTGAGTATCCTGTGGGGCAGATTCCAGGAAGGCCCTGAGGCAGAGCCCTTGAACTTTGCTGAAAGGCCCTTACTCTTGTCAGATTGTGGAATGGGGCCTGATTTACAGTCCTGCCCACAGCAGTGCCCTACTGACCTTGTCCTCAACTCAGTTTTTCCACTGGAGGCCAGCGTGGTGGTTCATGCCCATAATCCCAGCAGCTTGGGAGGCCAAGGCAGGCAGATCACCTGAGGTCAGGAGTTTGAGACCAGCCTGGACAACACAACAAGACCCTGTCTCTGTTATTACTATCATTACTATTGTTTTGTTTGAGACACCAGGATGGAATGCAATGGCATGATCTCTGCTCACTGCAACCTCCGCCTCCCAGGCTTAAGCGATTATCCTGCCTCAGCCTCCCAAGTAACTGAGAGTGAAGGCACGTGCTACCATGCCTAGCTAACACCCGCCATGAAGCCCAGCTAATTTTTGTATTTTTGGTAGAGACAGGGTTTCATTATGTTGGCCGGGCTGGTCTTAAACTCCTGACCTCAGGTGATCCACCTGCCTCAGCCTCCAAAGTGCTGGGATTACAGGCATGAGCCACCTCACCCAGCCCTCTATTATTTTATTTTATTATTATTATTTTTTGAGACGGAGTCTTGCTCTGTCGCCAGGCTGGAATTCAGTGGCACAGTCTTGGCTCACTGCAACCTCCACCTCCTGGGTTCAAGCGATTCTTCTACCTCAGCCTCCCAAGTAGCTGGGACCACAGGCGTGTGCCGCCACGCCGGGCTAACTTTTATATTTTTAGTAGAGATGGGGTTTCACCATGTTGGCCAGGATGGTCTTGATCTCTTGACCTTGTGATCCGCCCACCTCGGTGTCCCAAAGTGCTGGGATTACAGACGTGAGCCACCGCGCCCAGCCTATTCTTTTATTAAAAAAATAAAAATAAATTTTAAAAGTAAGCTTTTCCAGTTGAAAAATTAGCTGGGCACGTTGGCACGTACCTGTAGTCCCAGCTACTTGGGAGGCTGAGGTGGGAGGATCAGTTGAGCCCAGGAGAAGGCTGCAGTGAGCCATGATCACGCTTGTGTACTCCAGCCTGGGGACAGAGCGAGACCCTGCCTCTAAAATGAATATGCTAATTAATTTAAATAGCTCTAAAAAGGCTCACCTCGCCCCCCTTTCACATCCACAGGCAGCGTGCTGCCATCTGGGCTCTGGTCTGACCGCTCCTGCACCTGCACGTCTTGTCTTCTCCGCGGCCATCTGTTTTCCCTGTGGTTTGTGTGTCCTGATTTTGAGCCTTTTGCGTATTTTTCTGCTGGGGTCTTCATCTTTTTTTCAGCCGTGCACACACCTTGGGAATCCCCAAGTGCCTGGCTGTGGCAGCTGCTGATTTACAGGAGCTCTTTATTCAAAAGAGAGTTCTGTGAAGTGCTGGCAGGCAGGGCCTTTGGGGTCCTCTGACAGCTAAGCGATGAGTGGCCTCAGGCAAATCGCCCACTCTCTGAATGCCTCGGTTTACCCACCTCTACGGGGTAAACCTCCCTGTGTGCTCTGCCTGGACACCCCCAGCCAGGCACCAGCTCAGCAGTTCAGCAGCCGCCCACTGAGGTCTGGCTGTCCTGCCGCTCGTGTGAGCACAGACACCTCTTCCCTCGATGCTTTGTGCCAAGGGCTAGTGTTGATACTTACCCTCTTCTTTTCTTTGTTCTAGTTTGCAAAATGTTTTTTCAAAAAAGCTTCTCAGCGGGGACAAATACAGGTTCTCGTAAGTATTACTCATCACTGAAATTTCCAAGTCATAGACAAAGAGGACTTCCTGCCCACTTTAAGAGTCAGGACACCTCTCAGACCTGACTCCCTTCCGCTCTAAGCTCCGGAGGGACACACCTGGTACGCAGCTGCTCCCTGCAGCCCCTCAGCCAGCCTGGTGCCCTTTTGCCTTTTCATTTCTGGGAAGCTGCCGTGGCCCTTGTCAGCTCGGGAGAGAGTGAACGTGCCATGGGCTGGGTTGCCTGGGTGTGGTCTAGCTGTGTGGGAACTCAGCCTCCGGATGCAGTGGGCATGTTCTCTTGCCACCAGTCCGGACGCGGTGGGGGCCCAGCGTGTTCTGTTGCCTGTGGTCTGGACATGGCAGGACCCAGTGTGTTCTGTCACCCACAGGGCCCCGGAGCTGCAGTTCTACACCAGCGCCGCCGCAGTGGCCATGCTCGTCCCAGCCCGGGTCTTCTTCACGGTGGGTTTCAGAAACAGGCCCCCATCCTTGCATGCCCAGCTGCCTTATCTGGCGATTCAGGAGTAGACTGAATTCCCTTTCCAGGCTGTGCGCTGGCTGGTCGCGCCCAGCTCCGCCACGGGCCCTGCTGAGCTGAGTTGCTCAAGGAGCTGCTCAGGGTTTGCACCTCAGATTTTTGTGTGTTGATTGTTTTGATTCTTCATGATTCAACTTGAGAGGACTTTTAGCTTAGCTTAATTTCTTTTTTTCTTAGAAAAACTTTTTTTTTTTTTTTAAATTGAGTCTGTTTTTGTCTCCTAGGCTGGAGTGCAAAGGTGCAATCTCTGCTCACTGCAGCCTCCACCTCCCAGGCTCAAGCTATTCCCCTGCTTCAGCCTCCCAAGTAGCTGGGATTACAGGCATGCACCACCATGCCTGGCTAATTTTTTGTGTTTTTAGTAGAGACGGGGTTTCAACCATGTTGGCCAGGCTGGTCTCAAACTCTTGGCCTCAGGTGATCCGCCCACCTCAGCCTCCCAAAGTGCTGGGATAACAGGTGTGAGCCTCCGCACCCAGCCGCCATTTTAACTACTTTTCACTGTAGCTGAGTAACATTAAGTACGTTGATACTGTGTGTGGCCATCACTGCTGCTCATCTCCAGAACCCTCTTCATTTTGCAAAACTGAACCACTGTACTCATTAAATACTCCCCATTGTCGTCCCCCAGCCCTGGCACCCCCATTCCTCTCTGTCTCTGAATTTGATGACTCTAAGGACGTCACACAAGCGGAATCATACCTGTCCGTGTCTGGCATGTTTTACGTAGCATGCGTTTTCGAGGGTTATGCATGCTGTAGCATGTATCAGAGTTTCCTTCTTTTTTATCTTATTTATGCATTTCTTTTTTTGAGATGGAGTCTTGATCTGTCACCCAGGCTGGAGTGTAGTGGCACAATCTCAGCTCACTGCAACCTCCGCCTCCCAGGTTCAAGTGATTCTCCTGTCTCAGCCTCCCAAGTAGCTGGGACTACAGGTGTCGCCACCATGCCCAGCTAACGTTTTTGTACTTTAGTAGAGGTGGTGTTTCACCCTGTTAGCCAGGATGGCCTCAATCTCCTGACTTCATGATCCGCCCACCTCAGCCTTGTAGAGTGTTGGGATTACAGGTGTGAGCCACTGTGCCCGGCCAGGTTTTTTTATTTTCTATATTGACAGGTTCTTAACTGTATTGCCCAGGCTGGTCTCAAACTCCTGGGCCCAAGCAGTCTTTTGGCTTCGGCTTCTCAACAGTGGCTCACTCCTGGGATTACAGGTGTGAGCCCCTGTGTTCAGCCTTCTTTCCTTTTTAAGGCTGAGTAATACTCCATTGTATGGGTAAGACCACATTCTTTTCTTCATCCATCCATTGTCGGTTCTTTTTGCCTTTGGCTATTTGAATAATTTTGTAGTGAACATGGATATGCAAATACCCTTTGAGACCCTGCTTTCAATTCTGTTTTTTAGTATCACTTTTAATAATAGGTACCTCTTTATTAACTCATGAAATAACCAGACCTAGGGCCAGGCGTGGTGTGCACACCTGTAATCCTAGCACTTTGGGAGACCGAGGCAGCCAGATCACCTGAGGTCAGGAGTTCGAGACCAGCCTGGCCAACATGATGTGAAACACCATCTCTACTAAAAATACAAAAATTAGCCAGGCGCAGTGGTGGGCACCTGTAATCCCAGGTACTTGGGAGGTTGAATCAGGAGATTTGCTGGAACCTGAGAGGCAGAGGTTGCAATGAGCTGAGATCGCGCCATTGCACTCCAGCCTGGACAACAAGAGTGAAACTCAGTCTCTAAACAATTAAAAAAATTTTTAAATAATAACCAGGTCTAGCAGTAAGCCTAATATCTATGGTAATTTGATGTAGTGATGAGGGCAAACAGTATTTCAAGGTATCAGAAGCAACTGCTAACAAGATATGAAAGTATATGTAGATTTTTGGTTTTTTTTTCCTTTTTTGAGACGGAATTTCACTCGTTGCCCAAGCCTGTGTGCAATGATTTGATCTTGGCTCACTGAAACCTCCGCCTCCTGAGTTGAAGGGATTCTCCTGCCTCAGCTCCCGAGTAGCTGGGATTACAGGTGCGCGCGCCACGCCCAGCTAACTTGTGTAATTTAGTAGAGATGGGGTTCCCCTTGTTGGTCCGGCTCATTGAGAACTCGTGACCTCTGTCATTTGCCGACCTCAGCCTCCCACAGTGCTGGGATTGCAGGCGTGAGCCCCGCGCCCGGCCCCTCACTGTGGTTTCTGTTTGCATTTTCCTGTGCCCGATGACGTTCAGCCTCTTTCACGTGCTTGTTGGCTATTTACATCCACATGTTAAAGCCTGATCAGTGCAAAAAATAAAAACAGAAAAAAACAGCCAACGGGTGAGCGTGCAGTTCAGGTGTCCCCTCAAGGCGTTTCCAGAGCTGCCCTCAGTGTCGGCAGCTCTGCACAGTGACCATGTGGGAGTGACGCTGGTGTTTGTGGTGGATGATTAGTACATGGAAAACGCACCCCAATAGAGTATCTTTTTGTTTTCCACGTAGGACGTCCCAGTGCTTGGGAGGAGTGGGAAGAGCTTCAACTACAACCAGGACGTTGTGCTGCTGCTTCTGACAGACGGAGTCCTGTTCCACCTTCAGAGTGTCACCGCCTACGCCCTCATGGGGAAAATCTCCCCTGTGACTTTCAGGTGAGCCAAGGAACTTGCTGGGAGGTTAGTGTATAATACTGGGGTTCAGGGTGTCCTCGGCTCCCCTGAGAGGACGTTTCTCCAGGTTCCAGGTCTCCTGCCCTTTCGAGAATGAGAGGGGACCACGGCACAATGTGCAGTAAATGTCAGACTCAAAAGTGTGTACGGAAAGTGATTTATTTTAAAGCAGAGAGAGAAAAGGAGAAGGAGAGAGAAACAGCTAGCTCTCACACTGAGAAAGAAAAGCCGCTGTCACACTGAGTGAGAAAGAAAAGCCGCTGTCACATTGAGTGAGAAGGGTTCCAGAGTGGGAAAGCCAGAGCAGGAAAGCTCCTCTCACGCTGAGTGAGAGAATCCAGAAAGAGGGAATCCAGGAGAGGAGAGCAGCCTCCACACTGAGTGGAAGGGAATAGAGAGAGATGGAGTTTAGGAGGGAAGGCAGGCTTCCACGAGTGTGGAAGGGGACCCCAGAGGGGAGATCCAGGAGAAAGACGGCTTCCACGAGAGAGTGTTCGTGGAAGGGGGCCCAAGCATGGAGTCCGAAGGGGTGTGGAAGAAGGGGACTTTTAACCCAGGAGGAACCCCCACTTTCTCTAAGACCCCAGACCAATGAAAGGAGTTTCTTATAACTTCCGCTGGAGTGAGTGACTCTTAGTTTCTTCCCGCACTGGCGAAATTCAAACAGAAACTGTTAAATCTCCCAGATGGAGAGAGGTGGGCGGGGGTGTGGCACCAGGAAGTTCTTGACCTTAAAACTATGTCCCCTGGCTAACCTAGAAAGAGAGCACATTCCCTCAAGTGTGTCCAGGTATTTTTATAAGGGACACGTGATTTTCTGCAGGGATGACTGTGGCTGTGCTCTGTAATTACCAGGCCTTTTCATACCCGTCCTGTTTGAAATGCAAATGATAGACTGGGCCCAGTGGCTCATGCCTGAAATCCCAGCACTTTGGGAGGCCGAAGCAGGCGGATTGCTTGAGGTCAGGAGTTCGAGGCCAGCCGGATGTGATGGCAGGCTCCTCTAACTCCATCTACTCGGGAGGCTGAGGCAGGAGAATCGCTTGAACCTGGAAGGCAGAGGTTGCAGTGAGCCGAGATCACACCACTGCACTCCAGCCTGCATGATAGGAGTGAGACTCCATCTCAAAGGAAAAAAAAAAAAAATGGTAAACTGTGAAATAAACTGCAAATTGTGTGACACAGGTTTTTAGGGAAATCCCCACTAGAAGTCGTTGCATTTGAAGATTTTTGAAATGGAGTATTTTTCTGTCTAGAATAGCATGGCGTTTCACTAGTCTTGTCTGCAGGAATGGAATGGTCTCTTCTGGGCTGTCCAGTACAGGAGCCACTGGTGCACACGGCTTCTGAGCGCCTCAAATGTGGAGGATGTGACAGGAGCCAGGGTCTTCATTCTAGCCGAGTACTGCAGTTGAGCTTGAAAAGACGCCTGTGGCCACCGGCTCCTGCTCCGCAGCGCGCTGCTGTGGAAACTCGGGGCACGGGGCCTTCGGACTGGACAGATTGAACGAAGGTGCTGGGTTTTTTAATTATTTTTTATTTTTTCCTGAGATGGAGTCTTGCTGTGTCACCCAGAGCTGGGGTGCAATGGCGTGATCTTGTCTCACTGCAACCTCTGCCTCCCAGGTTCAGGTGATTCTCTCGCCTCAGCCTCCCAAGTAGCTGGGAGTACAGGTGCAATGGCTCACACATAAAATCCCAGCACTTTGGGAGGCCGAGGCGGGCAGATTGGCTGAACTCAGGGGTTTAAGACCACCCTGGGCAACATGGTGAAACCCTATCTCACTAAAATACAAAAATTGGCCGGACATGGTGGCGGGCACCTATAGTCCCAGCTGCTTGGGAGGCTGAGGCGAGAGAATCACTTGAACCCATGAGGCGGAGGTTGCAGTGAGCCAAGATCACACCACTGCACTCCAGCTTGGGCCACAGAGTGAGACTCCATCTCAAAAAAAACAATAAGGCTGGAGACTTTGGTAGCAAATAAAAAGGAATGAGTTTATGTCACCAGCAGTTGTAGAAATCCACGCAGCTGGTATCAGCAGCCGCCCCCTCATATCCTATTGTGGAAGTCAGTGGACCTTTTTTCTGAAACATCTGATCTGTCATGAGGAGGCAGAATTGTCCCCAGATGTAAAGGGAAAAGCAGACGTCAGGGCTGGTGGGGGTGGGGAGCACTCAGGTGTGGCTCTCCCTCTTTTCTGCTTTCCATCTGGTCCAAGTCAGTGCGGTAAATTCGCAGATGCCCATCCGAGGTGGTAGCTGTGCGTGGTGCGTGCAGTGTTCCGCAGCTGAGGAGCATGCCCCTCCTCACCGGGTCGCCTCGTCCATGGCACTGCCTCGCTGCATGCTTCCTGAGTCCTGAGCAGCACGCGTCTGAGATAGGAAGAATGGCTGTGCTTTCTTAGTTTTTCTGGAAGTCATGGTGGTCTCCTGGGCTTGGTCACTGTCTCTCACCAGCTTCTTTCTTTTGGGGGTCAGGTATTATTTCCAAATGCTCCTGAAACCTAGTGTTTTAATGAACATTAGTGATTGTTAGCGATGGTTCAAAAAAAGAAAACTTTTTTATTTTTTGAGATAGGGTCTTGCTCTGTCACCCAGGCTGGAATGCGGCGGTACCATCTCAGCTCACTGTAACCTCTGCCTCCTGGCCAAGTGATCCTCCCGCCTCAGCCTCCCGAGTAGCTGGGATAACAGATGTCTGCCACCACACCAGGCTAGTTCTTGTAATTTTTTTTTTTTTTGAGAGGGGGGATCTTGTTATGTTGTCCAGGCTGGTCTTGAACTCCTGGCCTCCAGTGACCCACCCACCTTTGACCTCCCAAAGTGCTGGGACTACAGGTCTCAGCCACCACATCCAGCCCAATTATTTTTCAGTAGTATTTTTTTGTTTTATCAAAGTTCATATTGTAAGAGCCACAAGTGCTTATTATGGACAGTCTGCAAAGGGTATTTCACAGCACCTGTATTTTTGCACAGCCCTAACATTTTCTGTGTGGTGCCCTTTTTCACCTAACTGGTGATCTCGGGATGGTTGTTCCAGGGGCTGTAAAGGCACCATGGGTGTGTGGCAGATGTTCTCGTTCTTTAGAGAGCAGGCTGCAGTACTCAGGGTGAAATGCCACGATAACTTTTTCTTTTCTTTTCTTTTTTTTTTTTTTGAGACGGAGTTTCGCTCGTTACCCAGGCTGGAGTGCAATGGCGCGATTTCGGCTCACCGCAACCTCCACCTCCTGGGTTCAGGCAATTCTCCTGCCTCAGCCTCCCGAGTAGCTGGGATTACAGGCACGCGCCACCATGCCCAGCTAATTTTTTGTATTTTTAGTAGAGACGGGGTGTCACCATGTTGACCAGGATGGTCTCGATCTCTTGACCTCGTGATCCACCCGCCTCGGCCTCCCAAAGTGCTGGGATTACAGGCGTGAGCCACTGCGCCCGGCCCCTATCTTTTTCTTTTCTTGTTTTTGTTGTTTTTTTTTTTTTTTTTTTTTTTTTAAACTCTCACTCTGTAGTTGAGGCTGGAGTGTAGTGACATGATTTCGGCTCACTGCAACCTCTACCTCCTGGGTTCAAGCAGTTCCTCTGACATAGCCTCCTGAGTAGCTGGGACTACAGGTGCATGCTACCACACCCAACTAATTTTTTAGTATTTTTAGTAGAGATGGGGTTTCACCATGTTGGCTAGGCTGATCTTGAACTTCTGACCTTGTGATCCACCCACCTCAACCTCCCAAAGGGCTGGGATTACTGGTGTGAGCCACCGTGCTCAGCCAATATCTTTTTCTTGTTCTTCAGCGAGCAGGCTGAAGCACTCAGGTGAAATGTCACAATCTCTGTAAATTACTTAAAAATATTTCATCCGGGTGCAGTGGCTCACACCTGTGATCCCAGCACTGTGGGTGGCCAAGGTGAGAAGTTCTCTTGAGCCTAGGAGTTCATGACCAGCCTGGGCAACATAGTGAGACCCACCTCAATTGGATGAAGCTGATGAGGCGGATGTCATGGACTCCTGCATCTGGATCATGGGACTTGACTGTTCCTCAGGTTTCTCTTCCTCTAACTTTTAGTAATGAAAAGTATCCCGCAAAAAAGAAAGAAGGGACAAGGGAGCAGGCAAGCCCCCCTCAAAGTTCCCAACCCCCCTGGGCAGAGCTCACCACCACCCGGGTCCCCCAGAGCAGCCCGGCCTCTGGACCCAGGCTCAGCTGAGCTGCTGGCTGCCAGCCAGGGTAGCCCTGACGCTGAGCTCCCCGGCTGCCCCCACCCCCATCTCTGCAGTGTCGCCAGCACCGTGAAGCACGCCCTGTCCATTTGGCTCAGCGTGATCGTTTTCGGCAACAAGATCACCAGCTTGTCGGCCGTCGGCACAGCCCTGGTGACGGTCGGGGTCCTGCTCTACAACAAGGCCAGGCAGCACCAGCAGGAGGCATTGCAAAGCCTGGCTGCAGCCACCAGCCGAGCGCCTGAGGACCCCGGGGAGCCACTGCTTACGCAGGACCCCAGGCAGCACCCCTGAGTGCAGGATGCCACCAGCCGCTGCTGTCCACTGACGCCGCATCCCTGGAAACGGGCAGGGATGCCCTCCTCCACAGCCCTGCTGCGCTGCAGGACACGGGGTGCTGAGTTGGGCCTTTACTGCTCCTTTCTCGGTTTTCCGGTGGAGACCAGCGGAAACGCAAATGGGCTTCCAGGTATCAGCTTCCTGGAGTGGAGAGCAGAGCCCGCGTCAGCCGAGCCCATCCCCGTGTAATGTGAAAGCAGCCTCTGTGGCTCCCATGCTGGGCACGGTGCCCATGTCCTCCTTGGGCAGCACCGCAGGGTCCACCAGGAACCAGAGCTGGGTCCAATGCCAACAAGAGCTGCTCCCTGCTAGAGCCGAGAGAGCACTCAGCTTCCCACACCAGCCTTCAAAGGCCCTGAGGCCCTGAACCAGCTGCAGACTGGCTCTGGGCCTGAGGCCACAGAGCAGGGCCGACGGGGGTGGACAGAAGGGTCTCCTGCTGCCACCGCAGGTGCTCAGAGCTTCACCCCACCTGGCTCAGACTGTCCCAGAGGCATCGAAAGCCCCAGGCTCTGGCATCGCAGCCCCAGGCTACGATGGCACTCAAGGGCTGTGACCAGGAGGCCTTTCAGTTAACCTGTGAAGAGGAAAGTCCACTACCCCTTCCACACCCTGGGCTGCATGAGACCCCCCGCCTCTGGAGCACCCTGCTCATCACCTTCCATACCCTGGGCTGTGAGCCCCACCCCTCGCTGGGGCGCCGTGCCCTCCTACCTGTGGTGGTTTCCAGCCCTGAGGTTGAGGACAAACCCCTCGTGTTTAACTAGGGGAGGAGGAGATGTGTACATTCCTTTTCTTTTTTGGACTCGGTGTCAGGCAGGCAGTTCTGAGGTCCCAGTGGGGTGCGCCTGTCCTCCCTTGGAGCCCACTGCTCCCAGTCTCATCCTCGAGTACCCGTTCGTTTCCCCACGTGAGGACGTGGGCAGGACGTTGCAGTGTTGATGGTTTGGGCTGTGTGGCATTAACACAGACTCGGTCCTTGCTGAAAAAGGAAGCGCTCACTGAATGTTTCTGGGACACATTGTGTGTCAGGTGCCCACCCCACAGCCCACTCTCCCCAAGGGATAGTGGCCCTGCAACGCTGACCACCGGCCAGCTGGGCTCCTCCTTCCTCCTCAGCGTCACGCACCCCAAGGGCGCAGGAGGAGCCGTGTGTCAGGCAGAGGCTTCTGACCGTGCCTGAGCTCTTCACCCCTCATCTCGTACCCGGCGCGTTTCTCAGCTGGTGCAGTCTGCTGCCAGCCAGCTCCAGGGCTTGTCAGTGGCCCCACGTCTTACTTTGCCGCCCTGCTCCTCAGCTCTCTGGCACCCGTGGTCACTTCACTGGTTTTCCATTTGGCTTCTTGCCTGGAAAATATAAAAATAGCACCTCTTGAAGATAAAATTGTCCAGAAACAGAGCAATAATGATGACTCATAGCTTCTACCTACTCAAAGTCTGCCATGATGATGGGTCTTTTTAACCCACAAGCAACCTTTTTATTTTTTTGAGACAGTCTTGCTCTGTCACCCAGGCTGGAATACAGTGGCATGATCTTGGCTCAATGCAGCCTTGACCTCCCAGGCCCAAGCAGTCTCCCACTTCAGTCTCATGTTGCCGGAACCACGGGCATATGCCACCATGCCTGGCTGATTTTTTAATTTTTTTGTAGATGGGGATCTCACTGTGTTGCCCAGGCTGGTCTCGAACTCCTGGGCTCAAGCAGTCTTTCCGATTCAGCCTCGCACAGTGTTGGGAATACAGACGTGTACCACTGCACCTGCTTCCAGCCACTTTTATAAAACCACTGACCTGGGTCTGGAGGACAGGCTGGTGTGTACCCACTGCACCGTGAAGACACATTTTCTCATGGGACTTTCCCCGGGATTCCATTTCTCTTTTTTCTCTTTCCTCAAAAGCTAATGGAAAGAAAATGCCCTGGAGGTGGCATGGGTGGGGGTTGGTGATCTGTGAGCATCAGAATTGAAAGCAACCCCCAGGGTGGCCCTGTCCACACCCCCATGGAGAATGTGGCTGCCAGGTTTCCCACTGGCCTCTGAGTACGGTTCTGGTGTAAGGAGAGATGCAGGCGCCTGGTTCTGAGCACCTTTGGATTTCCGGCGCATATTCTGTGGTGCCCCCCCCCCACCCTCACAAGGAGCTTCCAGCCTGTTTTGATTTTGTTTGTGGACCAAATGTTTTCCCAGATGATTAACAAATAGGGTGATTTCCTGTGTAACGCTGCCCTGGGGCCTCTTCCTCATCCTGGCAGAAGGAGCCTGGAGCCCATGCAGTGGCCAGCGCTGTGTCCTTACCGGGGTGCGCCATCCCCTCCCTCTCCCTTAGTTGCCTCTCCACACCAAGTCGGTTTCCGCTCACTGATCTTCAAGGCATTCCCATAACAGCCCAGCACCAGAGGCAAAACCCAAGGCCTGGCTGGGCCATATTAACGAGTGTACAGACACATTGTTTAAACCACTTTGTCTAATACTTTTATAGAATAGTAAGTTGTTGAATGGTCACAGATGTGCTTACAGAAACACTGGCACGGCGTGTCGTGACTTCCGTTGGGTGTGTCCATGGTCACTGTCCGTGCCTTTGCAAACACACACAACTCTTGAACCACCTCCTGGACTGGGTGATCTGCTTACTTGCGTCGATACTTACAGATGTGCAGCTCTCTGGCTTTCAAGGAAACTTCCCCTACTGAATGACATAAAAAGATTTTGAAAATCCAACAGTCACAATTCCCTGTATAACAGTATTAAAATAACCTGCCTGCTTGGAAAGAGGAGAACACTGTTGCACAACCCAAAATGTGTAATTTGTGAAAAATTAACATGCGGAGTCAGAAGCAGTAATCTTAAAAAGCTGTACAAAGAGTATCAGCCAAATAGAACTCTGCTTTGTAGCGTGCCTTTAAAATCCTTGCCACAAAACCAGTGAGCTGTGCTTGCTGCTGCCACGCTCCCAGAGGATCACTTAGGTGGGTCAGTGGGAGTAACGGGAACAAGACAGCTTTTGCCATCTGTCCAGATGACGTCCTGAGTGAGGCCTGAAAATATTTCTCTGTTGGAAGAAGTAAGGGCGAATGTCATTACAGACTTCCCTTTTGCCTTGACCAGTGTTGTACTAAGGGCATTATTCTTTCCCAGCATACATACACACACTGCTAGGGGCCTTAGTTCATAGAATGAGAGTGTCCCAGCTCCCCGATAAATCTGGCTATTCTCTGTGTCCTGGCTGAGGATACAAGAGTGGGTCGTCTACTCCCAGAACCCTCAGAGCACAGAAACCTGCAGCTTTGCTGCATCTGAGGCATTTCTTCCATTTTTCCTGTGCGCCGCCTGTCAGTTTGATGACTGCTGGATCCTTGTTCGTGGAAACTCAGTTGGAAACTGTTCTAACTAGCAAAGTCCTTTTCTGTTTGTTTTCCGTTTCATTTGACTTTCGGCTGAAAGTGGCATTCAGCTGACTTGCTTTTTCAGACTGACTGCAGATGTGAGAGTCTTGACCTGCCCACGTGGTGTTGGGAGGCTCCACCTTGAAAAGGGACAGTCAGGGCAACTTTCCCCACACGGGAAAACTTGAAAATTCGTTAACAATCTTCTACGTCAGAGCGAAATTCTATTTCCTTTATACCAAACTATGGCGAACTGAAGGCACATCATATGTTTGTAGTGTTTTGTATGTGACCCATTTCAGTATTTCTATTACTAGACTAATGCTTTCTAGCAAATGGTTCTGTTAACTTAGGGAGTCACTGGTTAATTCTGCTGTGGTGATAGGTTGATACTGTGTAACTGATCCTGTGGATGCCTCCTTGTTATTTTTGTCTAAGCAGCCGTGGTAGCCGCTGTGATTTTTGCTCAGCAAATAAAGTAAATGTTAAATATGGGCTGCTTTGCTTTCTTCCTTCTGTGACTCTGGTGTTGATGCTCCTGAAATGATCAAGGCTAGTTTCTTATTGCCTGCAGCAGCTTCTAGCAACCCAAAATGAGCAAGAGAAACCAATTCTCAAAAACAAGAGGCTGTTTGCAAACAGCAAAGGATTGCAATCCAGGGTTCATCCACAGGCTCATCTCAGGGGCTGGGACAGGGGCAAGCTTCTGCAGGCAGAAAGAAGTTGCGTTAGCTGTCCTGACACAAACATCAGTGGCAACAGTAGCCTCTGCGGTGGCGGCCTCTGTTAACTGGTGGGGCTGGCTGTTCCTCACAGAGGGTCTTCACGGAAGTGGCTTAACCCAAACTTCTGGTTGGGAAAAGCCTTTGGGGCAGCTCCCATTACAAGCACAAGTGCAAGGCCACCCCCTCCTCGTGGCCTCCAGCGTCAATTTTCTTAGGGTTTGACATAAATGGCTGCATTTGGGTACTCACAGATTTCACAAAGGAAGGGTAAAATGGAGAGTTTCGACAGGGTGCGGTGGCTCATGATTGTAATTCCAAAAATTTGAGAGGCTAGCAGGAGGATCACTTGAGGTCAGGAGTTCAAGACCAGCCTGCCCAACGTGGCGAAACCCCATCTCTACTAACAATACAAAAATTAGCCAGGTGTGGTGGCGCATGCCTATAGTCCCAGTTACTAGGGAGGCTGAGGCAGGAGATTCGCTTGAACCCAGGAGGCGGAGGTTGCAGTTACCTGATACCATGCCACTGCGCTCCAGCCTGGGTGACAGAACAAGACTTCTCTTAAAAAAAAAAAAAAAGATTTCCCCAATTACCGAGAACTCAGGAAGCAACATGAGAGCTTGGGTACACAAAACAAGCGTTTCATTCCAGGATGAAAAAAATTCCCATACCCATCGCCCTTCTTGTGCCCTAGTCAATTTCTTCTCCCATTTTACATTTTCCCATTTCGGGCACAGTAAATGCGGATGTTTATCTCCCATGGTCGCCGTCCTGAGATTCAGGATGTGACTTTTCAAGTCAAGAGGATAACCTGACATATGGAAAGGGAATTACTCCTTTTGTCCACCTCTCCTGGAAGGTTCTAATTCCATAGGTTTGGAGTGGGGCCTTGGGAGTTAGGGGTTAGCACCTTACCCAGTTTGTCTGCACAGGCACTGTCAGCTTTAAAATCACATTGTAAAAGGCCAGGCATGGTGGCTCACGCCTGTAATCCCAAGACTCTGGGAGGCAAAGGTGGGCGGATCACGAGGTCAGGAGTTCGAGACCAGCCTGACCAACACGTGAAACCCTGTCTCCACTAAAAATACAAAAATCAGCTGGGCATGGTGGGGCATGCAGTAATCCCAGCTACTTAAGAGGCTGAGGCAGGAGAATAGCTTGAACCCGGGAGGCGGAGGTTGCAGTGAGCCGAGATCGGGCCACTGCACTCCAGCCTGGGCGACAGAGCAAGATTCCGTCTCAAAAAAATAAAAATTACATTGTAAAAGGCCAAGCGCAGAGGCTGACGCCTGTAATCCCAGCACTTTAGGAGGCCAAGAAGGGCGGACCACCTGAGGTCAGGAGTTCGAGACTAACCTGGCCAACACGGAGAAACCTGTCTCTACCAAAAACACAAAAATTAATTAGCTGGGCGCCTGTGGTTCCAGCTACTCGGGAAGCTGAGGCAGGAGAATCGCTTGAACCCGAGATGAGGAGGTTGCAGTGAGCCGAGATCCCGCCACTGCACTCCAGCCTGGGCGACAGAGCGAGACTCCGACTGCAAAGTAAATACACAAATAAATAAAATCACACCGTAAAAGCTCTCCCTGCCCTGTTTCTGCATAAGGTTCAGAGTTAAACTCCGGGATGGGCCTTTACAAGACGCGCCTCACGAGGTAACCAGCAAGTAAATGGGGCAGGCTCCACCCACCGCCAAACTGGGGGCCCCAGGGGTCAAGGGGTCTAACGCGGCGTCCCAAGCGAAGGCACCGTTACTCGCTAGCCTCGCGGCCGGCGCGGGCATTGGGGCCGGAAGCAGTCGGTTTCCGGCGGCCGGCCACGCGTTCCGCGCAGGCGCAAACTGCTCCCACAGCAGGAGTCGCTCCGCTCGGCGCCCTGATTCGTGCGTCACCAGCCCGCGCCGAGGTGGGAAGTGTGGCTCAAGGCGCTGATTCTTCTGGAGTCCTGGGCCTGAGCAAGCGCTGTCTTATCAATCCGCGCCCAAGCAGGAAGTGCCGCTCAGGGCGAGCCCCAGGCTCAGTCTCGAGTTTTGTGGCGGAGGCCGGCTCACGTCATCATTAGGCGCCAACGCAGGAAGTGACGACACTCCTCGCGCGCGCCTGTCGCTGTTCGCTGTTTTTTCTCAGGCTCCTGGACCGGTGGCGGCAGCGGTGGCAGCGGCGGCAGCGGCGGCAGCGGCGGCGGCGACGTAGGGGTGAGTGGCGGTTGGGCGGACTAGATGTGGGAGCGCGACGAGAACTGCGCACAGTGCTCTCCCATCCCAGCAAGACTCGGAGCTTGGCGGACGTGGGGCCGGGGGCGAGCGACACCCTGGCTTCCCCGGCCAGTCTCATCCCGCGCGGAACTTCGGGTGGTGGAGGCGGCGGGCCCAAACGCTCCCTGGAGCCAGCGTCTGCCAGGCTGAGCCTCCGGTGTGCCTGGAGCCAGCGTCTGCCAGGCTGAGCCTCCGGTGTGCCTGACGGAGCCCCAGGAAATAGCCCCGCGGCTGGTCAGGTGGCCTTGTTCGCGAGCACCTCTCGGAGCACCTTTCACTGCGGCCTCAGGGGCAGCTGTCCAGTGTGCTAGCGGCTTCGCGTGTCCCGGTGGTCTTTCTAGCGGATCGTGACAGTAAAAGCAGTACTTGCTGAGTGGCAGGTCCTGAGCCAAGAGCCCTTAAATGGGTGATCTTTAATCCGCGGTCGATACTGTCACGTAGGTGTTGTTACTCTGGTTGTGCAGAAGACTAAACTGAGGGGAATTACGTGACCCAAGACCATACAAGAATGGCGGAAAAGAGATTTGATTTCAAGCAGTCACCTTTCAGAGCCCATCTCTCTTTTGTCGCCCATGCTACAGTGCTGTGGCTGTTTGTGAGCACACTGGAACTCCCGGGCTCCAGCGGTCTTCCTATCTCAGCTTGCAGAGTACCTAGAAGTACAGGCGCCCGCCACTTTGCCTGGCTTACAACTTATCTTTTTTTTTTTTTTTTTTTTTGGAGACAAGGTCTTGCTCTGTAGCCCACGCTGGGGTGCAGTGACACAATCTCGGCTCACTGCAACCTCCGCCTTTTGGGTTCAAGCGATTCTCCTGCCTCAGCCTCCCGAGTAGCTGGAATTACAGGCACCCGCCACCACGCCCAGCTGCTAATGTTTGTATTTTTACTAGAGACAGGTTTTCGCCATGTTAGCCAGGCTGGTCTTCAACTCCTGACCTTGAGATCCACCTGCTTCAGCCTACAACTTAACCTTTTTTTTTTTTTTTTTAATGGACTGAGTCTTTGTCATCCAGGCTGGAGTGCAGTGGCAATCTTGGTTCACTGCAGCTTTGAGTTCTCCAATTCAAGTGATCCTCTTGCCTCAACCCCCTAAGTAGCCAGGAATACAGGCCCACGCCACCACAGTTGGCTGATTTTTGTATTTTTTTGTAGAGAGGGGGTTTTGCCATGTTGCCCAGGCTGCTCTTCAACTCCTTTGTTCAAGGAGTCCTTCAGCCTCGGCCTCTAAAAGTGCTAGGGTTACCGTCTTGAGCCACTGTACCTGGCCAACACTTTTCATTCTTAATGAGGATTTATTCTGAATCCAAAAGTGACTCAGTTCAAGCGTTCAGAAACAATGGAGCATCTAATCATAGCTTGCTGTGTCCTGATGTAGGCTGAATTATTTTTCTTTTTGCAGTGTTTTAACTCAAATGGGTGATGAAAAGGACTCTTGGAAAGTGAAAACTTTAGATGAAATTCTTCAGGAAAAGAAACGAAGGAAGGAACAAGAGGAGAAAGCAGAGATAAAACGCTTAAAAAATGTAAGCCATGTTTTTTAAGTAAGTGGTTTTCTTAAAGGAGATTTAATTTCTTTGCCCTCATTTTTCCATTAGAACAACGCTTCTTCGGTGAAGTTCTTTTGTACTTCCAAATGTCGCAGGTGAGCCCAAAATCTATTCTAAAAATTACCAAAAATATTCAGATATTCAGTTAACAATTAAGGCAGATTGTTAACACACTAAAACTGTATCTAGATTGGGCATATGTGGAGAATAAAATATTTTGAATGTTAAGTCATTAAGAAAATTGGACTAATTTTTCTCATTTCATTATTAGTGTATTCATAATACTATTTCCAAGTATTTTTAATGTAGTGGGAACTTGCCTTGAAATTAACAGAAATGTTTTACACCCTTCTTGGTTTGCATAAGTGTATTCAGAAAAGCGTGTTAGTAATTTGGTAAGAGGTATTGGCAAAGTCCTCTTCCGGTAAGATTCCCAACATCATTCTGGGATGTTTGCGAGTACAGGCATACCTTGTTTGATTGCACTTCGCTTCACAGGTACCGTAATTTTTCCAAATTAAAGGTTTGTAGCAACTCTGCATTGAGCATTTTTCCAATAGCATGTGCTCACTTTGTTAGCTTTTTTTTTTTTTTTTTTTAAGACGGAGTTGTGCTTGATTGCCCAGGCTGCAGTGCATTGGCACGATCTCGGCTCACTGCAGCCTCTGCCTCCCGGGTTCAAACAATTCTCCTGTCTCAGCCTCCCAAGTTACAGATGCTTGCCACCACGCCCAGCTAATTTTTGTATTTTTAGCAGAGACGGAGTTTCACCCTGTTGGTCAGGCTGGTCTCAAACTCTGACTTCAGGTGATCCACCGGCCTCGGCCTCCCGAAATGCTGGGATTGCAGGCATGAGCCACCTGGCCCAGCCTAAACCAACTTTCATATGCGCTGGGAAACCAAAATGCTTGTGCGACTCACTTTATTGTGGTGTACTAGAGCCAAACCTAAAGTATCTCCAAGGTATGCCTGTACCGTTTGAGGTATCATCAAGTATTTGGTTTGTAAAATATTCCTTAGGACTCACTTTTGGTTCATATAAGCAACTAACATACTCGGCATAGAATCTGATGTCCCTTGTCATACATCCTATTTTTTAATTTCTCATCTCAGGTTTTCGATTACAGGGGGTTGTAATTTTTATGTCATGGGATTTGAATGAAAGCTTATTATATGTGGTAATATTCAGAGTATATATGAAAGTTTGTTTTTGGATATTGGCCAGGTTTGATTATCATTAAAAATACTTGTATCTACAAATAAAAAAGAATTGATCTATAAAGAAAATGATTAACTTTCTCTTTGCTTCTTAGTCTGATGACCGGGATTCCAAGCGGGATTCCCTTGAGGAGGGGGAGCTGAGAGACCACCGCATGGAGATCACGATAAGGAACTCCCCATACAGAAGAGAAGACTCTATGGAAGACAGGTGAGCGGCTGTGCAGAAGCCCAAGGGCGACTGGCAAAGACACTGAGCGCTGTCCATAGCCGTGGCCTGGCCCGTCTTTCCTAGGGTTACTGTGACAGTGTATTGTTGTAACTTGAAGTTTACATCACCCTTGTGAGTGACTCTCATGTAGTATGCTTTGTCACCTCATGCCCTTGCCCTTTCTTCCTGTAAAGAAGTTTGCCATGTGTTGAAATGCTTAACAAAATTTACTGTGTAAGATTTTGCACAGGCTGGGCCCGTTGACTCATGCCTGTTATCCCTGCACTTTGGGAGGCCAAGGCGGATGGATCACCTGAGGTCAGGAATTCGAGACCAGTCTGGCCAACATGGTGAAACCCCATCTTAAAAGAAAAGGAAAAGATTTTGCGCAAATAAAGTGGAATGCTGAAAGATACCTGAGGGCCGCTGATCAGGAATGTTCATACTGGCCAGGTGTGGTAGCTCATGCCTGTAATCCCAGCACTTTGGGAGGCCAAGGCAGCTTCAGGAGTTTGAGATCAGCCTGGGCAACATAGGGAGACCTCCTCTCTACACAAAGTAAAAAACGAAGAAGATGAGAAAAACCAAATGAGTTTCCCTGCCATAGCCAGGTGCCACTCATGGTCATTGTTGGAAACAGATGGTAGGTGCCACAAAGAAAAGTTAGCACTGGGACAGCGGATTTCTCAGTAAAGCAATTTTTACTTTCTGGACTGCAGGAAGGGTGCCCTCACTGACCATCTTGCCACGACAGTACAACGAACAAAGGAAAAGCAGACATACTTAACCTTTATGCATTTTGGGTTGTCCTTGCTGCTGTGTCTGATTTCCATTGGCTGGAGCCAGACCTCACAATTTAAACTAAAACCCAATTGGCTAACAACTTTAAAACTTTTTTTTTTATTTTTGAGATGGAGTCTTGCCCTGTCACCAGGCTGGAGTGCAGTGGCATGACCTCGGCTTACTGCAACCTCCGTCTACCGGGTTTAAGCAATTCTCCTGCCTCAGCCTCCCGAGTAGCTGGGACTACAGGCATGTGCCACCATGCCCAGCTAATTTTTGTATTTTTAGTAAAGATGGGGTTTCACCATGTTGGCTAGGATGGTCTCGATCTCTTGACCTCGTGATCCGCCCACCTTGGCCTCCCAAAGTGCGGGGATTGCAGGCAGGAGCCACCGTGCCTGGCCTTAAAACTTTTTTAAACAGGTGAAAGCAGTGGCGAGCTGTGATATGTCTGTGGGCATGTTGAGCACAGGTGTCTTGGTTAAAGTACAAGGACGTAGCATGTACTACGTGCCTCTGCCTTTTGGATTGAAGTGATTCTCCTGCCATAGCCTCCTGAGTAGCAGGTATTACAAGCAAGTGCCACCATGCCCAGCTAAATTTTTTTTCTTTTTTTGTATTTTTAGTAGAGACCGGGTTTGACGCTGTGGTCAGGCTAGTCTTAAACTTCTAATCTCAGGTACTCTGCCCGTTTCACCCTCCCAAAGTGCTGGGATTACTGGCATGAGCCACCACACCCTGCCAAAAGTGTAGAATCTTTGAATAGCTTTATTAAGGAATAAATAACATAAAATGAGCTGACCATATTTAAATGTGGTGTGAAAGGCCGGAAGTGGTGGCTCATGCCTGTAGTCCCAGCACTTTGGGAGGCCGAGGCAGGCAGATCTCCTGAGGTCAGGAGTTCAACATCAGTCTGGCCAACATGGTGAAACCCCGTCTCCACTATAAATATATAAATTGCCGGGCGCGGTGGCTCAAGACTGTAATCCCAGCACTTTGGGAGGCCGAGGCGGGTGGATCACGAGGTCAAGAGATCGAGACCATCCTGGTCAACATGGTGAAACCCCGTCTCTACTAAAACTACAAAAAATTAGCTGGGCATGGTGGCGCGTGCCTGTAATCCCAGCTACTCAGGAGGCTGAGGCAGGAGAATTGCCTGAACCCGGGAGGCGGAGGTTGCGGTGAGCCGAGATCGCGCCATTGCACTCCAGCCTGGGTAACAAGAGCGAAACTCCGTCTCAAAATAAATAAATAAATAAATAAAAATAAAATAAATAAATAAATATATAAATTAGCCTGGCATGGTGGTGCACACCTGTAGGGAGGCTGAGGCAGTAGAATTGCTTGAACCTGGGAGGCAGAGGTTGCAATGAGCCAAGATTGCACCACTGCACTCCAGCCTGGGCAACCGAATGACACTCCATTTCAAAAAAATAAAAATAAGGTTGGGCACAGTGGTTCATGCCTGTAATCCCAGCACTTTGGGAGGCCGAGGCGGGCAGATCACAAGGTCAGGAGTTCGAGACCAACCTGGCTAACTTGGTGAAACCCCATCTCTACTAAAAATACAAAAACTAGCTGGGTATTGTGGTGGGTGCCTGTTGTCCCAGACGCTCTGGAGGCCGAGGCAGGAGAATTGCTTGAACCTGGGAGGTGGAGAGTGTAGTGAGCCGAGATTGCACCATTACACTCCAGCCTGGGCGACAGAAAAATAAATAAATAAATTAATAATTAATTAATTTTGTTGCCTAGGCTGACCAAAATACACACACACACACACACACACACACACACACACACACGTGTCCATTAAACTATCACCACAGTCAAGCGAATGAACCTGCCCTCATCCCCTACAGGTCCCCTGAGAGGCATTTCCTTCCCTCTCCACACAACATCGATTTCTTAGATTTTTTTATCTGAATCTTATTTTTTTTTTTTTTTTTGAGAAGGAGTTTCGCTCTTTTGCCCAGGCTGGAGTGAAATGGCATGCTCTTGGCTTACCGCAACCTCTGCCTCCCCGCAACCTCTGCCTCCCAGGTTCGAGGAATTCTCCTGCCTCAGCTTCCCAAGTAGCTGGGATTACAGGTGTGCACCACCTCGCCTGGCTAATTTTTGTATTTTTAAATAGAGACCAGGTTTCAATATGTTGGTCAGGCTGGTCTCGAATCCCTGACCTCGTGATCCGCCTGCCTCAGCCTTCCAAAGTGTAGGGATTATAGGCGTGAGCCACCTCACCTGGCTTCATGTAATTTTTTAAATGATGTTTCAGCTTCATTCTTAGTTGAATCTTGCATTTTTCTGGGTTGGAGAAACCTGATGCATCTTACCACTTTCTCAAGCATGATGTGGTGCTGTTTTGTTTTATTTCAGAGGAGAAGAAGATGATTCTTTGGCCATCAAACCACCCCAGCAAATGTCTCGGAAAGAAAAAGCTCATCACAGAAAAGATGAAAAGAGAAAAGAGAAACGTAGGCATCGTAGCCATTCAGCAGAAGGGGGTACAGAAGCATTTATTTTCTTTGACGTCGTGTTCAAGTGTGGTTTCTTTCCTATTCCTACTCTTCTGCCTTCCCCAGAGCACCACTGAAAAAGGAGAGAGAGAAAGTTCTAGCTAAACGCGTCCATGTGTTCCAGACTGTTCAGAAGGCTGTTCCATTTCTCCTCTGATGTTTTCTCCCCAGTACAGTGTTTTGGAGCAGTTTGTTTACATTTAAAATGACCTTAATTCCACAAGTACGGGAGAAAACACACCAAAATGGGTATTTGGTCAAGTCCAAATATGGATTTGGCTTGATCAGTTTGCTCTCATACCAGCAACAGCGCGTTCTTATGGGTGTTAGGCCAATGGGACCTGCAGCCTGATGGAAGTCTCATTTTATACATGTAGTCGATTAACATGGCTTCATCACACAGTGCAGAAGCCCACTCGTAGCAAAGCTTTGTTCTGTAGTCTTTATGGATAGTGTTCTTTTAAAATTATAAAACTGATATTTTAATTACCCTTGATTCAGAATAGAAAGCTTTTAAAACAAACGTTACGGTTCTGCTCTTCAGTGATATCAGAATTGTGTTTTTTCTTCATTCTTTATGATTAGATGCTTACTGCAGGTAGTTTTCTATTTTCAAAGTTTTTTATTAAACATAAAATCATGATTATTCAACTGGGTGCGGTGGTCCATGCCTATAATCCCAGCACTTTTGGGAGGACGAAGATGGAGGATCACTTGAGCCCAGGAATTCAAGACCAACCTGGCCAATATACCGAGATCCCGTCTATTTAAAAAAAAAAAAATCAGGATTATTTAACATCATTATTTAAATATATGGTGTTCTTTACTTCATTTAATGTCATTTTCATGTAAGTTTTTTTGTTTTGTTTTGTTTTTTTGAGATGGAGTCTGACTCCTGTCGCCCAGGCTGGAGTGCAGTGGTGTGAACTCGGCTCACTGCAATCTCCACCTCCCGGGTTCAGGCAATTCTCCTGCATCATTCTCTGAGTAGCTGGGATTACAGGCATCCACCACCACACCCGGCTGATTTTTGTATTTTTAGTAGAGACGAGGTTTCACCACATTGGCCAGGCTGGTCTCGAACTCCTGACCTCAGGTGATCTACCTGCCTCTGCCTCCCAAAGTGCTGAGATTACAGGCACAAGCCACCATGCCCAGACCTTTTTTTTTTTTTTTTCCTTGTTGAGAAAGAGCTTTGCTTTTGTCGCCCAGGCTGGAGATCGGTGGCAAAATCTCGGCTCACTGCAACCTCCGTCTCCCCAATTCAAGCGAGTCTCCTGCCTCAGCCTCCGGAGTAGCTTGGATTACAGGCACCCGCCACGATGCCCAGCTAATTTTTGTATTTTTAGTAGAGATGGGGTTTCACCGTGTTGACCAGGCTTGGTCTTGAACTCCTGATCTCAGGTAATCTGTCCGCCTTGGCCTCCCAGTGTTGGAATTACAGGCGTGAGCCACTGCATCCAGACTCATGAAATTTTTGAAGTGAGGTTTCTTTGCATGACACTTTATTTCTCATTAGGGAAGCATGCTAGAGTGAAAGAAAAAGAAAGAGAGCACGAACGTCGGAAACGCCATCGAGAAGAACAGGATAAAGCTCGCCGGGAATGGGAAAGACAGAAGAGGAGGGAGATGGCGAGGGAGCATTCCAGGAGAGAGAGGTGAGAGGGCCGGCTCCGCTCAGGACTCTTCTAATGGAAGGGTTGTCATGATGTGTCCTGTCACAGTATGAAAGAAGCATTTGGTAATAGAAGTCACATTTGGTGTAGAAGTGGTAGACGTGGAAATAGCACAGTGAACGCCGCACAAGGCTGATCAAGAGAGCTGTCCCTCAGGAGGGGCTTGTTACTGCATCTGGAGTCACGAATGGGTGTGATTTGATTGAGGGAAGACAATAAAGGGATCAGAAATCTGCACGTCTGGCCGGGCGCGGTGGCCCCTGCCTGTAATCCCAGCGCTTTCGGAGGCCGAGGCAGGTGGATCACCTGAGGTCAGGAGTTCCAGACGCAGCCTGGCCAACATGGTGAAACCCCATCTCTACTAAAAATACAAAAATTAGCCAGGCGTGGTGGTGGGCGCCTGTAATCCCAGCTACTTGGTAGGCTGAGGCTGGAGAATTACTTGAACCTGGGAGACAGAGGTTGCAATGAGCTCGGATCGAGCCACTGCACTCCAGCCTGGGTGAGAGAGCAAGATTCAGTCTGGGAAAAAAAAAACCCAGAAATTTGTGCCTCTGATTCCTCCCAAGGGAGGTTGGGCAAGGGAGATCAGGAGTTGCCCTGAGCAGGGCCTGACTCTGCTGGTGGGCTTGTCCTCAGCCTGGTGGCAGTCGATCAGGAGGAAGCTGGAGCTCAGAGTTAGAATCCAGGTGTGATGCAGTGAAGGCTGAGGCCAGGCACACAACAGGGGAGGTGGAAAGGAAAGCACAGTGGGCAGGGATGAACTACTCAGACCTGACGGCTGGCTCCAGGCAAGGAGGAGTGGAGCTGTAAGGGATTCTGGGTGTGGGGCATCAGGATGGGATGGAAAGAGGGTTCCTCTGCAACAAAGGTGAGATCTGCATGTGTGTTCAGAAGTGTTTTTAAGCTGTTTAGTCCAGAGTGGAGTCATTTCAGAGAGCACCAGTCAGGCCACATCCATGAGTTCCCACAGTGAATGCTGTCGATAACTGTCTTTGGTGCAGCTGACTCTTCACCTGTTCATTCAGGAGGTGCTGAGCATCTGCTCCATTCTGAGGTCTCCCGGCCAAGAAGACGAGGGAAGCAGACTGCTTAGGGTTCTCTGGGTCACACCAGAAATAGGCTCTGGTCCTTTCAAACAACAGGAAAAAGAACAATAAAAAAGGGGATTACAGGCTCACACCTGTAATCCCAGCACTTTAGGAGGCTGAGGTGGGAGGATCCCTTGAGCCTGGAAGGTCAAGGCTGCAGTGACCTGAGATTGCACCAGTGCACTCCAGCATGGTCAACAGAGTGAGACGGTCTCAAAAAGAAGAAGGGAGAGCCCTTAGAGAAGAAAACAGTTAACTTGATGGAAAAAGAAAAAAAAAGAGAAGGGAGATCCCAAAAACCTTGAAACAGTCCGGAAATAGAGACACTGGACTCTTGGGACTCCTGGCCATTAGTCTGTATGTTCCCCTTTGTAAGCTCAGATTCCCAAGAAAGAACATCACTGTAGCCCCAAATCTGTTCTCTGTACCAGGAAAAAAGCTACAGGCCAGGTGCAAGTGGGCCCACCTCTGCATTGAGGCTGAGTCCAGAGAAAGCCTGCGAGCCAGCCTGCTGCAGGGAAGGGAGGAGTCTGAAGTGGAAGGGTGTGGGCCATGATGGCTGCCAGCAGGCTGCAGCCAGGGCTGGGTGTACAGCATGTAAAGATGATGAGAGGAGCCCGGGCGGTGGCTCACGCCTGTAATCCCAGCACTTTGGGAGGCTGGGAGGGTGGATCACGAGGTCAAGAGATCCAGACCATCCTGGCCAACATGGTGAAACCCCATCTTTAAAAAAATACAAAAAATTAGCCAGGCGTGGTAGTGCGTGAAACCGGAAAACGGAAGTTGCAGTGGGCCAGGATCATGCCACTGCACTCCAGCCTGGCGATAGAGCAAGACTCCATTGCGAAGAAAAAAGAGATTATGAGAGGAGCGCTGGTTCTCGTTGATGCCTAAGGATGTGGGAGACACTGAGGCCCAGAGATCAAGGTCTGAGACCACTGGGGGGTGAGCAGCGTTTCAAGTTGTAGAGCCACAGCCCTACAGCCTCGTGGGGTATCCCCTATTGCTGTGCTGAGGCACATTATCCAAGAAGTAAAGAGACAGGACACAGAAGGACTGGAAAAGACAGCTGGGCTCAGGGGCCACGCCACTTAATGAGCCGAGACAGGCGAGGCCCCGACTGTCCACAAGTGTCTGTATTTATTAGGTACAGTACAAGGCAGAGGGAAAGGTCGTAAGTGAGGTCATCATCTATAGGCTTAGTAATAGGGCATACGTAATCACATGAGTAGCAAGCGAGAGGGCCACCCAATTAGATCACCTCGGCAGAGAGGTGGGCCATGCGCAGTAGTAGAGGGTTGTGTGCAGAAAAGGGATCTGCCTCCATTAGGTCACCGAGGCAAGGAGGTGGGGCTGTGTGCAACAAATGTTGTGCAACACTTCTTACCTGGAGGCTGGAGATTTCAAAGGATTCTTATAGAAGGATGTGCTAAACCAGTGCAGTGGGAGCTGACAGACGTGTGCTCTTCTCTAAGATATTTATGGGAGGATGATTTGAGCCAGCACAGAAGCGAGAAAAGACTGACACGGTGCACAGCCGCCGCGACTGGTCACACCATGGGGGTTCTTCTCCCTCGGTTACTTCCAGGATCTCAGGCCTGAGGCCGACTTCCCACGGGAACTGGATGCAAGGTGCTACAACTCCTTTATCAGGAGGAGAGGCTCCTGCTCCAGGCCTGCCATACGGCATTTGCCCTTTCAGGCAGGGACGCCACCGCCTGGGTCTTTGGTTCTCGTCCTGGTCTGGCTGTTTTCCCATGAACTGCTTCTGTTCTGTGACTGCTCCAGGCATTCCTCCTAGTACAAACTACAATATGGTTATATGGAAGGATTCTATAAATCAGCACTAAATGTGTCGGTACAGCTCTGACTACAATACCTGTATGATTATATAGAAAGATTATACAGAGCTAAGTAGATATAAGTATTAAGTATGATTATATAAGCTAGATATATGTAAGCAGTAAGTTATATCTCAGGCACTAATTGTTCCAACTGTAAACTAATACATGATTATATATAAAGGATTATATAAAGGAAATAGCTCAGTAATAACACTGTAAACTAAGATAGTCTTTGGGTACTAGTTGTGCCTGGGGTTTGCACAGCTCTCCTTCCTTGGTGCCCATGTGGGGGGTTACCCATACTAGTGACCAAATTCTCGTTAATGTATGAAGTGAAGCATCCATGCATGCCTAGCCGTGTGCCAGACACCAAGTGTGCCCGGTCCCCCGAGAATGGAGCTTGGGATAGAAGTGAAGGTTGGTAGATGAAATTTGGGCTGTCATATTTATTTCCCAGAAGTTGAAGACGGGAGAGTGAGCAAAAAGTGTCGGGGTCCGACTTCTGGCCAGGGCCAATTAAGAGCATCCCATCCAGAAATGGGCACAGTAGCATATGCTACTTGGGGAGCTAAAGCCGGAGGGACCACACGAGGCCACCGGGGCAACATTGGGAGACCTTGTCTCTGACAAGAAAGAAACTGATAAAGGAGAATCTGAGAAGCACTGATGCTTGAAAAACTGCTGAGCTGTGGGTAAAAGCAGTAAGAATCTGACCTTCTGGCCTGAGAGCTGCTGCCTTTACTGCCTCCTCTGTGCTTGTGGAGCACAGAGGTTCTGCTGGAAGCACGGCCACAGGACCTGTAGTGCCCTTGCTGTCTTGGGAGGAGATGCTCAGTTCAGAGCAGTGGGCACTGCCCTTGCCCACCAGCATCCTCAGTGGAGGGAAGAAGAAAAGGCCAAGAGGTCTGCTAGAAAGAAGTGCAGTGTGGTTGGGAACAGCTGTGATCTAGCCAGAGATGTGCAGCAGAGACTGGAGAGAGCTCGAGCCACCCGTCCTGACCAGCCCTGAGGGCGTGCCTGTGTGAAAATGATGCCAATACAACCTGCACGTCAGTGTGCTCCCTGTACACGCAACATCCGTGGGCCAAGGAAGCCTTGCTGTGGCTTGAGGTATTTGAGCCCAGCCTCTTTCAGTGTTGGCTAATTGCTAAGCCATGCAGACACAGTGGTGACCCCCGAGGAAGCCAAGGTTGAAAGTTAAAACAGGCATTTGGGAAAGAACAGGGTGTCCATAAGCTATAAGGGGACGGACTTCGCAGACTTCAGTCAGACAGGCCACAAAACACGTGGCAATAAGTAAGGGGAAAACTTAGAATCCAGAATTGTTTGGCCGGGCGCGGTGGCTCACGCCTGTAATCCCAGCACTTTGGGAGGCCGAGGCGGGTGGATCACCAGGTCAAGAGATCGAGACCATCCTGGTCAACATGGTGAAACCCCGTCTCTACTAAAAATACAAAAATTCAGCTGGGCATGGTGGTGCGTGCCTGTAATCCCAGCTACTCAGGAGGCTGAAGCAGGAGAATTGCCTGAACCCAGGAGGCGGAGGTTGTGGTGAGCCAAGATTGTGCCATTGCACTCCAGCCTGGGTAACAAGAGTGAAACTCCGTCTCAAAAAAAAAAAAAAAGAAAAAGAATGCAGAATTGCTACAAATTCATTACCTAAAATTTAAGTATGGCAATATGACCCAAATTGAGGAAAAACATCATCAGTAGAAACTGTCTGTGAGTATTCCAGATGTTCAATTTTGTGAAGACTTGGAAACAAATAACTTGTGGCAGGAACAGTAGAAATTACCCATTCTGAAGAACAGAGAGAAAAACAAGAAAAATGAACAGAGCCTCAGAGACCCGTGGTACATCTGTTGTGCCAAAATACATATAATGGGAGTCCCAGGAGAGAGAGAAAGATATTTTTTAAAATAATGGTTAAAAACTTACCAAATTCTAATTTTTTTAAAAAGTGTCTGGACGTTCAAGAAGTACGGGAAATTTGAACTAGAATAAATACTAAGTCACATCATAGTCAAACTGGGGAGAGCCAAAGAGAAAATGTTGAAAGGCTCAGGGAAGAAGGACCCATCCCGTGAAAGGGGAGCTTTACTACCACTGCCAGCTGACTACTTCTTAGAAACAGCACAGGCCAGAAGGCACTGGAATGGCATACTCAAACTGCTAAAAGAGAAAAGCCCGTCAGCCAGGAATCAAAACTGTTCTACACAGGGAAAGGGAACTGAAGACATTCTTTGAGAAACGAAGACTGGGGAGTCGCTGTTGGCAAGACCTGCCTTAAAGGAAACACTGAAGGACGACCTTCAGGCTGAATGGAGATGACGCCAGATGGTCGCTTGCACGCAGACAGCAAATGTAGGTTGACTTAAATGATCCTGGAAATGTCATTCTTCTCACATCTTAGGTTTTACAGGAACTGTGAGTGTATAAAATAATCACGCTGTGCTGTCATGCGGTGTAGAACACAAACGGACTGCACAGAGAGGAGAGGGAAGAAGGCTGTGTTACAGGTTTCATATTTTACTGGAATTGAGCTAAGATCGTGAGGCATGTTGTGATCCCTAGAGCAACCACCAAGAAAACAGCTTTTTAAAAAGTACAAATACTGAATTGAAATGGTACGCTAAACGTATGTAATTGAAAACCAAAAGAGGGAAGAAAAAAAAACACAGAGCAAAGCAAAAAAGTCAGTCCAACCATACGTGTAACTGTATGAGATGCGAAAGGTCTCCATGCCCCAGCAGGAGGGACAGATTATCAGACAGAAGAACAAGATCCAACTGTGTGCTGTCTGTGAGAGGACGGGAAGAGACGCACCATACAAACACCAGCTCTCATAGGACAGCCTGAATGGCGACAGTAAGACCAGACAAAACAGATGTAAGAACTATTAGAGGCTGGGCGCGGAGGCTTACGCCTGTAATCCTGGCACTTTGGGAGGCCGAGGCAGGTGGATCACGAGGTCAAGAGATTTGAGACCATCCTGGCCAACATGATGAAACCCCGTCTCTACTAAAATATAAAAATTAGCTGGGCATGGTGTCGTGTGCCTGTAATCCCAGCTACTCGGGGAGGCTGAGGCAGAAGAACTGCTCGAACCCAGGAGGCAGAGGTTGCAGTGAGCTGAGATCACACCACCACACTCCACCCTGGCAACAGAGCAAGACTCTGTCTCACCAAGAAAAAAAGAAAAGAAATATTAGAAACCAGCCTGGCCAACATGGTAAAAGCCCGTCTACTAAAAATACAAAAATTAGCTGGGCATGGTGGCACACGCCTGTAGTCCCAGCTACTCGGGAGGCTGAGGTATTATTAGAAGCACTTGGACCCGTGAAGTGGAGGTTACAGTGAGCCAAGGTCGCGCCACTGCACTCCAGCCTGGGGGACATAGTGACACCCTTTCTCAAAAAAATAAATAAATAAATGTTGGAAGCAACAAGGAGCCAAGGACTTGATAGCCACAAAAAGGCCGACACAGCAGGCAGACACAGCAATTATACATGTACATGCATCTAGCCAGAGTCCAAAGTCCATGAAGCAAACACTGATAGAATGCAAAGATATCAATAATTTACTCATTGCAGTTGGAAATGTCAGCTGGGCGCGGTGGCTCATGCCTATAATCCCAGCACTTTGGGAGGCCGAGGAGGGCAGATCACCTGAGGTTGGGAGTTAGAGACCAGCCTGACCAACATGGAGAAACCCTGTCTCTACTAAAAATACCAAAATTAGTCGGGCGTGTTAGTGCATGTCTGTAATCCTAGCTACTTGGGAGGCTGAGAAGGGAGAATCACTTGAACCTGGGAGGCAGAGGTTGCAGTGAGCTGAGATTGCGCCACTGCACTCCAGCCTGGGCAACAAGAGTGAAACTCTGCCTCAAAAAACTATTATTATTTTAAGGAAAACAAAATATTTTGAACTAAGTAAAAATGGAAAACATTGTGTCAAAATTGAGAGATGCAGCTACAGCAATGCTTAGAAAAGGCACTTACATGAAAAAAGGAGGCTGTCAGGTCACAAACCAAGGCTTTCTTCACCTGAAGAGACCGAAGGAAGGAAGGCAGCAGAGGCGTCGCCTGGAGCACTGGGTCCTGGACGGCAGGTGCCCACAAGGAACAGCGCCAGGTGACGGAAATGCTTAAAACTGGCTTGTGGTGATTGATGGGTGCAGAACTTCATCAATTTCCTAGAAATCACTGGACTCAGTGATTGAACTTTATAAGTTAGCTGTACTTCAACTTTTACTTTGAAGTAGGTTAGGATTCCCAGGAATTTGAAAGTAGTACCTGGAATTGTGGAGGCCCTCAGCCTCCTCCAGCAGTGTGGTCTGATGTGGGCCAGCACTGGTCCAGTGCAGGTCACTACTAGACCATGGGCTTTTTGCCATTTATCACATGTGTTCATTTCTCTGCATATCTTGATCCTTTTTTTTTTTTTTTTTTTTAGACGGAGTTTCGCTCTTGTTACCCAGGCTGGAGTGCAATGGCGCGATCTCGGCTCACCGCAACCTCCCGGGTTCAGGCAATTCTCCTGCCTCAGCCTCCTGAGTCGCTGGGATTACAGGCACGCGCCACCATGCCCAGCTGATTTTTTGTATTTTTAGTAGAGACGGGGTTTCACCATGTTGACCAGGATGGTCTTGATCTCTTGACCTTGTAACCCGCCTCGGCCTCCCAAAGTGCTGGGATTACAGGCTTGAGCCACCGCGCCCGGCTGATCCTTTTTTTAAAAGCATATTTTTCTCATTGTATTTGGACTTTAGAGGAACATGAAAAATTAATTAACTCTCACGGATCCATGTTAGCTATTTGGCCACTCCATGAGGCAGCCAAGCACGCATATTTCTGTCACTCATAGTTCCTTCATTCCCAATGACATCTTTTCAGGGAGCTTGCCCTGCCCCTCCCTTATCATATTTGTGCCCACATAGGTGGGAAATGGTGCGGTCTGTGTGCCCAGACAATTCACTGAGTCACGGTCAGCATCGGGGCCTCAGCCTGAGTCTGCGGCCTCTTCCCAACTTTACCCAACAGGCTTTTATGCCTGTCTTTTTAGCCTGTACAGATTTATCTCATAATTAATTTGGGTTTAAAGTTGGTTCTCATACGTACTTAAGGAATTTCTCAAGTTTTAGTGGAGCTGCTGAACAGAAATGCGCTAGAACTGGTGAGTGTTTTTTGTTGTTTTCATGTTTTTGAGACAGGGTCTCACTCTGGCCAAGCAATCTTCTCACCTTGGCCTCCAGCGTAGTTCAGACCACGGTGCTCACCACCACGCCCAGCTGATTTTCTGCTTTTGTCGAGATGGGGTCTCACTATGTCTCCCAAACTAGTCATGTGGCTCATTAATAACAGGACTCTCAGAATGTATATTTTGGCCGGCATAGTGGCTCACACCTGTAATCCCAGCACTTTGGGACGCTAAGGCAGGAGGATCACTTGAGGCCTGGAGTTCAAGAACCCATCTCTACTAAAAATTACACCTGTAATTCCATCAACTTGGGTGGATAAGACATGAGAATTTGAACCCAGGAGGTGGAGGCTGCAGTGAGCCAAGATCGTGCTACCACACTCCAGCCTGAATGACAGAAGGAGACACTGTTTCCAAAAAAAAAAAGGAAAGGAAAAGCAGCCAGGCGTGGTGGCTTATGCCTGTGATCCCAGCACTTTGGGAGGCTAAGGCGGGTGGATCACCAGGTCAGGAGATCAGACCAGTCTGGCCAACATGGTGAAACCCCATCTCTACTAAAATACAAAAAGCCGGCATGGTGACAACACACCTGTAGTCTCAGCTACTGGGGAGGTTGAGGCAGGAGAATCACTTGAACCTGGGAGATGGAGGTTGCAGTGAGCCAAGATCATGCCACTGCACTCCAGCCTGGCGACAGAGTGAGACTTGGTCTCAGAAAAGAAAAAGCTCTTTATGAATTAAACTACATGGAAAGCCCGTTTACAAATCTGGGCCAAAAGCACGCGATAAGCTTTCTGTTTAGGAGGAATGATGGCGGGTGCCTCTTCCAGGGACCGTCTGGAGCAGTTGGAACGGAAGCGAGAGCGGGAACGCAAGATGCGGGAGCAGCAGAAGGAGCAGCGCGAGCAGAAGGAGCGCGAGCGGCGGGCGGAGGAGCGGCGCAAGGAGCGGGAGGCCCGCAGGGAAGGTAGGCGGGGGCGCGCGGCTGTGCCGGGTGGGACGCGAGTCCGCCGCCCCCTGGTGTTGGGCACTTGCTTTCACAGGCGGGCTCTTCGTTCCTGTGCTTGGTTTTTGCCTCTGCCTTTTTTTTGAACCAGAGTCTCACTCAGTCACCCAGGCTGCAGTGCAGTGGCACAAAATCTCTGCCCACTGCAGCCTCCAACCCTCGGATTCAAGCAATTCTCCTTCCTTAGCCTACCAAGTAGCTGGGACTACAGGCGCGCACCACCACGCCCAGCTAATTTTTGTATTCACCATGTTGGCCAGGATGATCTTGATCTCTTGACCTTGTGGCCCATCCGCCTCGGCCTCCCAAAGTGCCGGGATTACAGGTGTGAGCCACTGCACCCAGCCCCTGCCTTTTTTTTTGTTTTGTTTTAACACAGAGTCTCGCTCTGTCACCCAGGCTGGAGTGCAATGGCAAGGTCTCGGCTCACTGCAACCTCTGCCTCCCGGGTTCAAGTGATCCTCCTGCCTTAGCCTGCAGAGTAGCTGGCACTACAGGTGCCCTCCACCACACCTGGCTACTTTTTGAATTTTTAGTAGAAACAGGGTTTCGCCACATTGGCCAGGCTGATCTTGAACTCCTGACCTCAGGTGATCCACTCGCCGTGGCCTCCCAAAGTGCTGGGATTACAAGTATGAGCCACCGTGGCCGGCCAGCCTTTCCTTTTCATTTTCCCAATTTTTAGAAACTGGTAGAATATGGAGAGAGTGTGTGTAAAATTTCCCATCTTAAGCATTTCTGGCGTTGGGTGGTGTGAATGTGTTCACAGTGTTGTGCGACCACCCAGCCACAGAATCCTCGTCCTCTCTCAAAACCAACACCATCCCCGGCGACGGCAGCTTGCCGTCCCCGCCCCGCACTCACCATCCCACCTTCTGTCTCTGGACTTCGCTGCTGGGGTGCCTCCTGTGAGTGGGATCACACAGTCGTTGTCTTCTTGTGACTGGCTTATCACTCAGCAGATTCCTTGGGGATGTCGAGCCGTGGTGGGGGTCGGGGCGATGGAGGAGGAGGAGGACTGGCTGGCTGGCCGTGCTGTTTCCTCTCGGCCTCACTGTCTCCCCCATGCTCCACGTGACTGTCTTGTGTTCAGTGGATTTTTTGGTAGAGAAATGTTTAAATTCCTCTCTCCTTTGATTCATATTCTATCTCTTGACTTTGTGATTCCAGTGGCGATGACACCGAACACCCTGCCGTCACAAAGCGTGAGTTTGCATTATGCCAGGTTAACTGCGGTGACCTACAAAAGCTCGGCTCGGGAGTGCGTATTCAGGGCAGCTTAAACCTGTGCTCGCAGGCTGCAGTCCTTTGAAAAAACACCACAAAGAAAACAAAACAAACTGCTCCTTTAGCGTTCCACCCCACTTCTTTCAGTTGACGTCACCAACTCACGTCTTTATACATTGTCCATGAATGATGACAGCTTTATGAATTGTCCATAAACAGAATCACTTTCTAAATGCGTTAGCCTATTAATCTACGTAGAAAACAAAAGGCAGAGTTAAAAGTCATTGTTAAAACAATGCTTTTTGGCTAATAATGTCTGCGTGTTTTTTTTTTTTTTTTTTTTTTTTTTTTTTGAGACAGAGTCTTGCTCCATTGCCAGGCTCCAGGCTGGAGTGTAGTGGTGCAATCTCGGCTCACTGCAACCTCCGTCTCCCAGGTTTAAGCGATGCTCCTGCCTCAGCCTTCTGAGTAGCTGGGCCTACAGGCAAGAGCCACCAGGCCCAGCTAATTTTTGTATTTTTAGTAGAGACGGGGTTTTACCATGTTGGCTAGGATGATCTCGGTCTCTTGACCTTGCGATCCGCCTGCCTTGGCCTCCCAAAGCGCTGGGATTACAGGCGTGAGCCACCGCGCCCGGCTAATTTCTGCTTTTTAAACATGTTACTCTTAACACATTTAAAGATGCCCTTCATGAACCTTTCTTTCTTCATCCAGCTTCAGGTTTCTGTCTGGTGTCCTTCCGTTGCACCCCACAGAACTTGCAGGAGCACATTCTCCAGGGCAGGTCTAGATCTCGTGGTAATGAACTGCCTCCACTTTTGCGTATCTGGGAGTGTCCTCGTTTCTCCCTCACCTTGGAAAGAAAGTCATCTTATTGTTGTGTTTTCAGGCTTGCCGATGATCTCTTCCGCCTGCCCACTTCTGCCTTTGAGTTTCCGTTGTGAACATGCACTTCTTAGCTCTCAAATTTCTCTCTGGTTTCTTGTTAGATCTTCTGACTATGGATATTCCCATCATGTCACGTGTCGTTTTCTTGATTTTGTCCACATCTAAGTCTTTGTCCAGGACACCTGCCATCAAATGATTTTCAGGGACTGCATCTGTTGGCCTATTTTCTTTCCCTCTGAATGGGACATACTCTCCTGTTTCTTTGTTTCTCTTGTGTTTTTCTTAGTCCAAAAATAGACATTTGATTCTCATATTGTGATTCCTCCTGGTCCCCAGAGTTTAGCACTTGTTGCTTTGATTGTCGGGGCTGTGGGGGGGGATCTTGTGTGAAGATGAGGACTTCACCGGTCTTTTCCCAGCGTGCGCCTTTCCCTGGTCATGTGCAGTCACATTTTAATTTTCCCGTAAATACAGTTGTTTTTTAATGTTCTTGTCCTGAAATGTCTGCCTCCCAAAGGGGGGAAGGAGAGAAATGAAGTGGGGAAAGAGGGGCCCAGTCCTCATGCCGGAAACTCCTTCAGCTTGGGGGGGGGCGGCCGCAGCTGCTGCCTCCTCGTGCCTCTGGGGTAGGAAGCGCAGGCATCGCACAGACCTCTAGGGTGTGAAGGATGGGTCCATCTGCCCACCTAGAACCTAGGTCTGGCAGCTGCGTGCAGGCTGCTGAGTGCCAGGGGTAGGGGGCAGTGGGCTTGGGAGCTGCTCCTGTGCTAAGAGGGGACATTGACCGGAATTAACCACAGTTCACTCTCCAAGATTTCCCCTGAAGTTGCAAACCTTCTGTCGAGCCCAGAGCCCCTCAGCAGTGCACGAGACTGATCCTGCCAATGTAGTTGTTGTATAGGTGGGGAGACTGATTCCCGGTGCTTCCTACTCCATCTTTCCAGAATCTTCTCCCACCCTTCCTTTTTGGCCAGTAAAGATGAGTCTGGAAGGTCCACCTGAGTCCTCGGGCTCACGGCCCCCAGGTTGGAGCTTTTTCTCCCTGGGCTTCTTGGACTCTGACCCTGACTCTGTTGGCGCCGTGTGTGCGCCACGGGTGTGTCTGCCGGCTGTGGGTGTGGGAGATGAGGCAGTTGTGCCCGGGTGGGGCCTTTTGGGGAAGGCAGTGTTGCTAGTGCCGTCTCCCTCCCTGCCCCCCACGCCAGTGTCTGCGCATCACCGAACGATGAGAGAGGACTACAGCGACAAAGTGAAGGCCGGCCACTGGAGTCGTAGCCCGCCCCGGCCGCCTCGGGAGCGGTTCGAGCTGGGAGACAGCCGGAAGCCAGGTGAGGCCAGGCCGGCGCCTGCGCAGAAGCCAGCACCGTGTGAGTCTTTTCTAGGGGGTGTTTGTCATAAATGTGTAAGATTCATTTAAGGAAAGCCCAGCTAAGTGATTTTTTCTTCTGAAGAAAATGGTAGCTGTGCTGGCTGCCGTATTCTCGTGTAGCGAGAGGGACGGAGAGCGTCCGTGTGCAGCCAGCTCGTGTGTTTATCCGGTGGGATATTCGTGACGGCCCCATTGGAAGAGTGGCTCTTCTAGCATCTGTGGATGAGCTGGTTTTTTCTTTTCTTTTCTTTTCTTTTTTTTTTTTTTTTCTTGAGCCAGACTTTCAATTTTTTTCTTGTGTTGTGTTTTTTGTTTTTGTTTTTGTTTAGACGGAGCGTTGCTCTTGTTGCCTAGGCTGGAGTGCAGTGGCGTGATCTTGGCTCACCGGAGCCTCTGTATCTCCCGGGTTGAAGCGGCTCTCCTGCCTCAGCCTCCCGAGTAGCTGGGATTACAGGCATGCGCCACCACGCTTGGCTAATTTTGTATTTTTAGTAGAGATGGGATTTCTCCATGCTGGTCAGGCTGGTCTCAAACTCCCAGCCTCAGGTGATCCGCCTGCCTTGGCCTCCCAAAGTGCTGAGATTATTGCACCCAGCCGGATGAGCTGGTTTTCATACCAAGCGAAGTTAATCATTATGCAAAAGGCACTAGTTTTGGGGTGGTGGTAGCTTGTTTGTTTAAAAACATTTCCCCAATTCACCTTTAATGGTTTATTTCGTAAGTAAAAGAAGAGAAAATGGAAGAGAGAGACCTGCTGTCCGACTTACAGGACATCAGCGACAGCGAGAGGAAGACCAGCTCTGCCGAGTCCTCCTCAGGTACCTGGACCCACCTGGCTGAGGCCTTGACCGCTGCCACCCAGGAGGGCCCGGGTTCACCCTCTGCTCCGCCATCTTTCTCCAGCGGAATCAGGCTCAGGTTCTGAGGAGGAAGAGGAGGAGGAGGAAGAGGAGGAGGAGGAAGGGAGCACCAGTGAAGAATCCGAGGAGGAGGAGGAGGAAGAAGAAGAGGAGGAGGAGGAGGAGACAGGCAGCAACTCTGAGGAGGTTTCAGAGCAGTCCGCCGGTGAGGCGCGTGATGACTGTGTGAGGTGCTGGGGCGTTACCGTAGTGTTAGAAACTGCAGAGGACCAGCCTGGCAGGGGAGGA